GCGTGTGTTCTTTATGGACAGTGCCCCTCAGTCAATGATTGACTGGTTACCCGACCTCTGAAGGGTTATATCTCAGGCTAAATACAGGGCTGCGTGTCACCCCTCTGGGCCTTAGAGAATGTAGGCAGCTGCTATGCCATGATCAGCAAGCCATGGCCCTCACAGCCTAGTGCGCGCTGACACTTCTCTGGCATCTGGTTCCCTGCCAGTAGGTACGCTTGCGCTCCCGTCGGGCATACAGGTCGGGAGCATGCCCGTCCAGTCATCCTCGCCACCCTTCTGACCCGTTGTGGCACTGTTTTTATTGTCGGTTAAAATCCTGGAGAAGTGTTTGTAGTGGACCAGGGGGCGTAGTGGTGCGCCTAGGTGCGGGCCCGACCGCGCCAGCCACCTTCGCCCCTCTCGCCCTCGGTCCTCTTGACCATGTTTAGACGCCGGTTTCAGGTGGGGGATGGGTGGGGGAAGAGATAGTGCGATTCATGCTGTGCAAGTCTACTATCACTAAAAGCTAATGTACGTACAAGTCACCGTGCCTGCTTCACCTAGCTGTGGAGCCCACGGTGGCCATAATTGGGCCGGCGGTCGAACTGTCGCATCAGCAATAAGCCACAATCTGGTCTCCAAGCGACATAACGCGGCTGTGACTAACTTACTTTGAAAGAAAGCGTCTGCAATGCAGTCTGAATTGTAAATGAGGCATCTTGTAGACCATTAGGGAGGAAGGGATGCTGTGCAGGCCGGAAAAACCTTAATTAGATTTTGTGGTCTGACAAAACAACGTTAAATAGACTTTGAACAACGAAATTCCTGATGTAGACGTAAAACTGCACAAGAAGAATTGTCAGAAACGAGGAAAACGAGGCTATCGACTGACAAGGAGTTGGCCAAATTCAAGCTAGTTGAAACGTACGCCCTCATTAAAAACAGTCGCTATTTTTTCACCGTCATTGCCAAAAGGACTTTTATTTACTTTAACGCGGGGACTGGTTACTTGTCCGATCGGAACTGCATTTCTTCCTGAGTCTATCCATGCTAAATAAGTGATACCGTCTATGGTAGCCCCACCTAATGGACACTATACTGTTGGAGTTGGGGTTAAGGGTCAGGGTTAGGGATTATGGTTAGGGCTTATGGTTGGGGGTAAGAGGTTAGGGTTTAGAATTAGGGGTTATATTTAGGGGTTTAGGGTTAGAGTTAGGAGTTAGCTCAACTACTTCTCAACCATTCAAAGTACAACCGCTCATTTCAACTAGCTTTTCTTTTGCATACAACTACTTGACCTCGTCGCCTGTGCGTTCCTCGGTCCCACCTGTAAAAACTCCTGTTACCACCGGTCCCGTACTAGAGGTGATTGGGGTTTGTTTACTTCAGGTGGGGCTTCATAACTACATCCGACTCCGTCTTTGACAATCTTCGCACATTTTGAGAAAGACAAACTTCCTAAGAAAAGTACCGACATCGACACTACGGCGATAGCCGGTAGGAGACCTATCTTTTGGCGCTCAGCCCATTCCAAAGTGAAGGAAGTTAACCGCGACGCATGTATTTTTACGCAAGTTAATGATCACAGCGGACTGGGGAAATTGTCAAAGTCTACAGGCAAAAAACATGAGAGACAGGAATGGTGAAACAGCCTTAAGGGACGATTAAAAAGCGATGACTCAGATGCCCTCGATACACGCGAAAATGTGAGTTCCAGGTGGGAAGAGGGGAAGTTGCTTGTTTGAGCATGAACTTTATTCGCTTGATGTTTAGGACTCGGTGTTTAGGGGCGTTGGACTTCTGACCAGCAGGTCGCGGGATCGAGCTCCAAATGTTCCACACCTCGAGGTTGGGTAGGACTTACTGACGACAGCCAATAAGCTAGGAATGGCCATTCCAGTCTCCATCGTCTTTGTCGATAATGCTATTCTGCCTAAGCCTAACATTAACCCTAACTCCGACCTCTCTGGAATTTATCGCAAGGCTGCCTATGATACGTGGGGTATCCATTCCTGAGTTCTGGCCCAAAAATCCCGTCAAGAATTCGCACAGCTTCATGACATACGCCTGAACCTGTCAGCAAACCACGCGGTCCTGATGTGATACGATCCATAAGAACTGCGAGCCCATCCATCACGGTCGCAAAAGTTCGCCAAAAACACCAAATGTGATATTTCATTACTGGAAAGAGTACCTCCTGGTCAATCGACAGATATTTGAAAAAACTGGTGCAACATTTCACATAAAATAGGTGTCTTAAACAAGGTGATACCAGCCAATTTTACAAGATTTCGGATGTGTACTTTACCGAAATCAAGCACATGAAATTATGAATCCTAATCTTAAAACACCTCTAAGTGAAGCACAATATGAGCCACTGGGAACTACTGTACAAGGCTGTCAGTTTTCGCTGCAGTTTTCGGCTATAAAAATGCACATCAACTATAAAAATACGCAAATGTATTCATCGAAAGAAGAAAAAATTAGAAACCCAGCGATTGTAAAAGTCCATGTAGCTCCGTCTTATCAAGATAGCCGTCGTGGTTATGGTCGTAGTTGGCGATGAATTTCTCAATGTCCTCCTTGGTAATCCCATCCAAGTTCAAGAGTTGGAGAAGATCGTCTGCGGAGATCATGTTTGTCCCACTAAGGTCTAGTTGCCGGAAGAATGCATCAACCTCCCGTGAACTACATAAGGCAGAAGTTATCATCGATATGGTTGAAAACCAAACCCTCTACCTCGGCATTCAGAGGACTTGTGGAATACACGACTGCCTTCTCTTACACAGGCGTGCTGCATGTCTCCTTTTATTGATTCCCCAGTAAGACATGCGACGAAGCGATCAGCCAATACGCAGGCTTCTTAGGAGAGTTAGCCTTTCGTGTGGGTGTGCTGGGGGTGGGACGCGGCATAAGGGACTAAGCTGTCGCCACTGTGGGTCAAGGTCGCTCGGAAAAGTTGAGTGCTAAGCTGAGCAAGAATTGGGCTTTTTGCCAAACAGCCTGCAAAATATGCAAGAATGTGATGAATTGCTTAAAAGATTTTCCCATTTCAGTTTTAAGCGATGTTTTACTATTTAATTTTTGTGTATTATTTGCAGTTGGATCTGGGGAGTGTCGGTCTCTATCGCAGTCACCGTTACCATTGAGTAGGCAGAAGCATCAGGTCTTTGTCTGGGAGTCGCAATGACTTTTTTAAAGAATTTTTCAGTAAGTTTGTATCATCTAGTAATGTATGCCGGGCTCTGTCTTCAGAATAGTTATAAAGCTACCTAATACGACGCATAGTTGACAGCGACACTGAACCGGGATGGAGAGAGGAAGCACATCGACAGGTGTATATTCAATTTATCAACCTCACACGATGCATAAAAGGCCGTTTTATAAGGCAGAATATATTTTTGAAGAAGGAGACACGATCGCCGGGGCAAGAGCTTTATTAGCCTGACGTTTCGGATTCCTACTCGAATCCATCTTCAGAGACAAAAAAGCACTTGTTGATGGACTGGGGGCAAGTGCAACGATCTTCCCACTCCATACTCCGTGCTAAAACTTCGCTTAGGCTGAGTAACAAGCCATGCGGAGAGCGCAGTGGTGAACACTTTTCCCAACACCGGGGTCGGTGCGTCAGATGGTCGAGCAATCATCACGCCAACATCCAACGTACGTGATGAAATTGCAGCAATTATCGACTCGAATGTCGGCCATCAGGCAATGATCACACCAAGTGCGACAATCCCGGATGAAGGGGGGAACCGTGAACATTCATAGGTATGCGGTAGCATGGCTACTGCACCCTATAAATACCGCAGTCCTTTGTGCAAAAACCACCCGTTTCTGCTTTTTTGTCTCTGATGATGGATTCGAGTAGGAATCCGAAACGTCAGGCTAATAAAGCTCCGGCGATCGTGTCTCCTTCTTCAAGACGACTTCCTGGGACTCGTTTCTTCGCTTCTATTGGCAGAATATATTTTAATATAATGTTAGAAGGGAAGAACAGGATATTTTTTTTTTAGCAAAGATCGTTCTTTATATACACTAGGCGTTCTATGCCAGTAGCTATCAAACACGAAGTCTGTTTACTTTGGAGCCTTCATCTGCTTGAACAAGCAGCCCTTCCTGACTCTAAAATGGACTTTTAATTCCTGATAAAGTAGGTGGGGCAAGATATCTCTCAGCGCATTCTTTTGAAGAGACAGCAGAGCTCCCGGTTTTTACAATCCAGATATGTAGATTTATGCAACTTTGTGCCCCGAAACACACTAACAATGTTGGCGGACAACATTTCGTTTTATCCCGCCGAAAGTTATTAGGCAATAAGGACTACTTTAGGAGAACCCGAGAAATAATGCACCGCATCCAAATTAGTGCCTAGGTATGTTTGAAAGTGCATATGGCATGCAGTATGCTCACCTAGTACGTAATGTAAAAAGAGAGCGAGTACCAAATTAGATATTTGATGACCATTTGAATACAAATAAAGCCTTTTTGCAGTATAACGATCGGGGTTCAGAATTGAATAAGAGTGACGAAAATGTCTCCCAAATACACAGGACATTGCCTTCTTGTTTGGTGTGATAAAAACAAAACTGTCCGTCATTTTAGCGAATGCACGCGGAAAATGTATCCGTTTTTATTCTGATCGTAGTCAGGGCATATTTCATCAGATGTTTTAATACAGAATGCCAGTAAGAGGACCTTTTTGATTGAATTGGAAGCACGTTAATCACAGGTATTTTTGAGGAACTCCATTTTATTTGTCAGTGTGGTTAAAATTTAATCTCAACTTCCAGATACGATCAAACTCTTGTCCACGAAAAAGAACAACCTTGGGGGCAAAATAGGTATGACCTCTCATTGCATCAAATACGAACCCAACGATGACCGCGGCTGCTGCTAGCTGTAGCAGACATGGGTTTGCATGGAAATTGCGTCCTATAAATACTACACTCTTTGTGCCTCCAGCATCCTTATCCGCGACTGTCTCAGATGATGGAATCCAGAGATAATCCGAAACGTCAGGCGAATAAAATCCTTGTTCCAGCGATTGATTTTTCTTCTTCTTCTTCTTCTTCTTCTTCTTCTTCATCATCATCATCATCATCATCATCATCATCATCATCATCATCATCATCATCATCATCATCTTCTTCTTCTTCTAAAGCGTTTCTCGAAACTCGGGTCTTTGCTCCTGTCAGAATTTTGAAACACATATGTGAGTTTCGGCTATTATTACTGGTCCATTTTCTCGTAAGACATAAGTGTATACGCAATACGTACGACGACTCCAGCAATAAAAAACAAATTTAAATGAATAGGGTCAGTGTATGATGCAATGAGAAGAGCACGTCGAAGGACTGTGCATGAAAGCGTCGAATTGGTATGGAAAATGTTCGGTAGGGTGGGGTTCTTGAAGCACGGACGTGCTGGATGCAACGTCTAACATGGTCTTATGCAGACCCTTAGAGATCAACATGCGACGACAGAGGCCAACGGAATCATGAAACTTGCAGCAGTTTCTCAGAGAACTACCTCTTTGTCGTGCTATTCTCCATAGGGCGGCGTTTTAACAAGATAGAGTGTGTGCCATGTTATTGTGTCCTCAGCGGCGGATAATAAATCATAAGATGCCTTGCGAACCAACTAGATGCACGATGGGGACATTCAGTTTGGGCTTCGCTTCCTACGGATCACGTCTTTAAACTCTTTTATGACGTTTCATAAAATCAACCGTTAACTTAAAAAAACATTAAAAGCTAGGTTGAATTTAGAGTACGCATTCAGGTGGTAGTGCAGGAACGACTGGCTGACTCGCAAAACTGAAAAGACCCGGGGATTTGGCGACCGTGGCGAGATGAAGAATTTCCTCGCGACCATCAGGGCGCCGCTGCCGATTGCTGATGAAACAACCCTCCTGACGGAGAGATCACAGCTCTTGGAGCATTGGTTTGCGCACTTTCACGGCAATATGCGAGGACACCATCAACCAACTTCCTCGAGTGGACAGCCACCATGCCCACCATGATTGAAACAGCTGGTCAGCTAAAAGCGGCAGGAGTCGACGCTATTCCAGCTGCCCACAGCTCATGGAAATGTTTGCTTTGCTGTTTCAGCAGGTGTCAGTTCGACCGTCGATTTCGACGATATCAACCATGTGTTACAAGCTGATGCGCAACAGGCCCGGTGACTTGCGCATTGATTAGTTTATAGTGGTAAAAGACTTGCGCAGCATCTACCACACTATCTCTCCCCCCACTCCCCAACTAGACCCGGTGTCAAGACAGAGTCGAGAATAACAGAGGCGGGGGAGGGCGCAGGTGGCTGGCACGGCCAGAGCCGCACCTAGGCCTGTCACCACATCCCCTGTTCCACAACACACACTTGACCAATAGAAGCGAAGAGACGAGTCCCAGGTAGCAGTCATGAAAAAGGAGACACCATCGGTGGGACACTTGACCAGGATTTTTCCACAACAACAAAAGTAACACTCCAACAGGGGTCAGACGAACGAGGATTATGACTGGGCAATCATGCCCACCATCTGTATACCCAGCGAAAGTGCAAGCGCAGGTAAGTGCCAACGCATACCAGGCTGCGAGGACCATGGTTTGCTGATTAGTACACGTTTTCAGACCTTTTGTCCAGCAGGTAGGGATATGATGACGCTCTCGGTGTTTTTAAGGACACTACGTTTTTACGTATTTATAAGTGCAATGGGGAACCGGCAGTCATATTATAACTGCAAATGGCATCTTTCTTCTCAAAACTGAAAGCAAACTGTTCGCCTTGTGTCTTACTCAGTTACTTAAACACGCATCTGAAGCAGAGGCGTCTTTCGAAAATGAGGTATGGATTTCGAAGACGCCGTGGAACTTCAGACATAATCTTCGTGGCTGGCCAACTGCAGTGAAAATACCGGGAAATTAGGACCAGCGTCTACATCGCTCTCGCCGGTCTGACGAGTGCTTCAGAGCAGCAAATCGCGATAGGCTCTGGAGCATCTCTTTGGAACTGGGAAGTTTGGAGCACTAAACACATATGGTGAGGTCTGATGATGATGATGATGATGATGATGATGATGATGACGAGCGTCACGGAGAGGGGACACCACCTGTGAGGCATTCGCACGACAAATGAGGTGAAACAGTGCTGCGTACTCGCTTCCGTCCCATGCCATCTCAAGTATGCCCCTACGTCCGGTGGACGCCTACCGTGGGAACGGCCACCGATAAGATGGAGGACCACTGAACATGCGACGCACCTCCGAGACTCTTAAGGCCTACCGTGCTCGACATTTTTTTCGAGAATGACTACGGGTTTGAAATCGCAATGGAAACGAACGAGCAAACCTTTAATTACTTTGCAGCGCATGTCAACTGCATTGCATCATCTGTGGCAAGAGTCTTCGTTAATGAGTATAGGTGCAACTTCCGACATTTACGTCCGCGAGGAGTGTAGAAATAAAGGGATGTGGCCGCTGGAAGCTTCATTCTCTTCGCCGGACGTTTCGGGTTCTCACATGAATCCAACATCAGACACAGTCGCAGATAAGGGTTATGGATGTACAGCGGGCTCAGAACTTGGAGAATGCAGTTGACATGCAGCCGAATGCCTATCACAGTTGGCAGATACCGCATCCACCGCCCATGGTCGGTTGCCAATTTTAGCATCTTATAAATACTGCGCCCCTTGTGCGTCCGTTACCCTCATCCGCCGCTACCTCGATCGCTGGGTTCGAGTGAGTATCTGAAACGTCGGGGCAGTAAACTTTTTGATCTAGCGATCTTCTTCTTCTTCTTCTTCTTCTTCTTCTTCATCATCACCATCATCGTTATTATCGGAACTGTTTCCTGGAACCTGCCTCTTCGCTTCTATCGGCAAGACCGTTCAAGGCCAGTCTTGTATTTTGCCTCCATACCCTCGGAAGTTTCCCTTAAAGAGCACCAAGCACGAAGAATTGACCTTTCCCTGGTAAACTGCACTACGGGCTACACCGTCGGTTCACGGAAAGATAGTGCATTCGCCGTACTTCTATTTGGTAAACTAATGAGAACGCAGGAGTAGCTTTTTGCGGAGTGGACGTCTGCGACTAGCAGTAACGGCACGCGCGAAACGGCATGGGTGACAGCGAAGTTCATGTAAAATAGTGTGCAATGCATGCTACTGAATTTTTAAGGGTAGCGAAGCATATTCAGTTATTAGTGACCGTGAAATCAACAGGGCTTAACGGCACGTAAGTCAAGTAAAGCACTTGTCAGGTCTTATTTCATTAGACACAATGCAGGGGTAAGATAAAGGGTGAATAATCAAAAATATTCGAAAATAATTATGAAAAAGAAGACGAAGAAGGGTCGAGCAGAAAACGCAACTGCCTATCGTGCAGAGAATATCTCCCAGCTATGAGCTCTCCGAAGCGCATCGCACCCGAATTTTTCACGAATGAAGGCGACAGTTCGAGTTCCAGGTGTATGCGCAAGTGAAGATGTCTCCGATATCTCAAAGACGAACTAACCCCACGATGCTTGAGATATAAAGCTTCCGTTAACACGGCTATGGGAAGAGGCGTTGTGAGGCGGTTTGTTAAACAGATGATGAGCGTTGTGATCGACGACTGTACCCGGTGTTTGGAGAAATACAAGGTTAAGATCGAGGCGAATAGAAGGCAGTTTGTCCACATTCTCGGTGATTCTATCGTCGCGGATATTGGGAAGATGATCTCCGCTCTGGCCCACTGCAGGCAAGCCGAGAAGAAAGAAGTTTTGAAATGGAAATAGACTAAGCTAAAACAAGAAGGCGCGGAAAGTTCAAACTTGGTCCGCAACCTCTCGTCTAAGCAGCGAACAGAGCAGTAACTACGAGTGCTTCAGCATGAAACTTGTTTCAATACTGCAGATTCTGATCCTGTCGATCTCATTGCCGCCCTGGAAGCTATGCTCGTGGGAAGTGAAACAGCCGACGACAAGAAACATTTTGTCCGACAACATGTTATCTTCTTGCTGATGACACACAGACCAACCCAGAGTATTTCACAGGGTGAGTCAGTAGCTATGAGAGAACTGAGGAGGGATGACAGAATCATCATGTGGCCTGCTTATAAGTTACGATAAACAGACTTGAAAAAGCGTACGACGAGACTCAGAATACGATCAAAATTGAACATCTCATGAGGCTGTTTGAAATTTGCCAACAAACGTTCTTCACTTTTGCTGGAGAGACTTATGAACAATCCAAGGGAACTACAATGGGCCCACCGGTCTCCGGTTTAGTAGAAGCACTGACCCGAGAGGAGTCAGGAAAGATGGCCTTCATCCAACATGAGCCGGTATTTTGGCGCCGTTACTTAGACGACACGTTTGTCATCGTAAAGGGGGACATGCTGCAACATTTCCACAGCCTACTTAACGCAGTCTTCCCTGATGTAAAATTCACGAGGGAAGAAGAACAGGTGCAACAGTTTCCCTTCCTGGATGTGCTTGTCAGACGGAACCTTAACAGTGAACTTGAAACGACGATTTAAAGGAAGGCAACGAACACCTCACAGCTTCTCATTTTTTACAGCAACCATCTGGTAGTCAACAAACGAAGCTGTGTGAGTACGCTCTTCAAACGGATCCAAACTAATTGCAGGAATCCGGAGAAAGGAATACACGGGGCCCGTTATCTCACCGACCAATTTGCGCAAGATGGCTATCCGAAAGCATTCATAAGTCACTTCCTACGCGGTCGCGCCCAGAGGACTCGAGCATCAACAACACCTACGATATGGCATCCTCTGCCATACAACAAGGACGTTTCAGAAGCGACCGAGCGCATTGAAGCGGAGCTAGGTATCGGATTGTACACCGCTCCAAAACCACCATCCGCAATAGGGTCATGAAAATTAAAGATCGGTGAAAGCCTGAAGAGCAATCTGGAGTAGTGTATCGCATCCATGTAACTACACAGGCCAGACTGGACGCATGCTCGGATCGCGCATACACGAACATAAGCTGGCTGTACGACGAGGCAACGCATTTTCCCCTGTGGCGCCCACACCTACGAAATGGGTCACGAGTTAAACTTCGCAGCCACCAAAATAGTCACCCACGCCGGAAAAAAACAGGCCGAGAATTGATTGAAGCTTGGGCCTCGGATGAGAACTCGGTCAATGGATTTATCAATCTGTCGCCGGCGTACAGAGCCCTGTGTAGTCACCTCCAGTCTCGCGCCGTCGGTCGATGATTGGCCTATATATCCTATAACTGTCGTCTGTTCTGTTGCCGCTACTACCTCTGACGCTGGACTCCTGCAGGAGTCTGAAAGCTCAGGACAATAAACAAAATTTTCCGGTGCTCGACCCCTCTCCCCCTTCACCTATGCATACACCTGGAACTCGAAATTTCGTCTTCATCAGGAAAAAGATTGTTAAAGTGGCCCTATCGAATAACAGCTTGCACATCTCTATCTGTCGATGAGAATTTGGAAAGTTGTTTTTCAACACGCAAAACACTTTGTAGCCTGCCCTTTGGGATAAGGAGAAACTCTCGGTCTTTGTGAAGTAATAACACGGCAATGAACGTCGTCTGAAGAGGTTTTTGACATGGCTTGTACGTCATTTGCACTGGAACAAAAACTGACCATGGACGAACAAGAATTTTCTACTAAAACCTTATCGTAAGAAGGCACAAGTAAGTCCCCAAAATATGGATTGGGCGAGAGACAATCTGTGATAATGAGCCTCAGGGAGGCGGAAACTCTCATGCATGCTTTGTCTGCGGTTTCCAGTGACCGATTTAATGAAATGTTGGCCGAAATTGAGAAGTGCACATTTGATTAGAAAGGGCTAGTTAACCGTGGTTGTAATATTGATCATCTTATGACATAATACCGTGATATTACAAGCACGTCAGGGTTTAAGCGTTTAAATGTACTCCTTTTCAACCGTCTATGAAAACCTCACTTAGCAAAAATGGCTTCCTAATTAGTATGCGTTTTCTAATGGTAGGGGGCGCTCACCGATCGTTCTTACGGAACTCACTCGTCCCCTTGTGCCTTACGGGCTCTCTCTCGGGCCCAACCAGCAGCCGCACAGTGGCGCATGATATAGGCAGTATGCAGCGGGCTCGTGGCCCAATGGTTAGAGGAGTGGACTTCTAACTAACAGGTCACGAGTTCGAGCCTCGGGTGTTCCACACTTCGGGGTTGGATATGACTGGCTGACGACGGCTAATAAGCCAAAAATGGCCATTCCAGTCTCCCTTGTCCTTGTCGGTAATAACATACTGCCTATGAATTTTCTATATCGATTTTGGCGCCATTATAAATTCAACGGTGTCTTGCCAAAACATGCATAAAGGTATTCTTTCTTGTACTCATTTGGTATCTTTCATTTTCGAAAAAGTTCTCATGTCCAACATCCCCTGCACCTTTCTCAATAAATGAGCACACAACGACTTAACGTCGTCAGTGTAAGCCAAACAAATGTGCGCGTATGGTGTGACAGCTGATAGACATGAACGAATGTGTCAGGGAAGTTGGATAGAGAAGAATTCACAAATATCAAGCTGGGCTGTTCAGTTCGGAACGAGAAGCAATCGGTGGATCCGTGATGGTGCAGCGTTTACCAGCCATTTAGCTATCTCCCTCCAGTAAATATCAAAAAACTGCGTCAGTGCGAAGTGGCAAATCGCAAATTATCCATTGCCAATAATTAGCCACTCGGGGAGCGCACAAGTGAACACTTCCCAACTCCAGGGTCGGTGGGTCAGATAGTTAAACCATCATCACACCAACACCCAACGCACTTGATGAAATTGCAGCAACTAACGACACGAACGTCGGCCATCAAACAGCCATCACACCACGTGTAACGATCACTGATGAAGGGAGGGACGTGAATGTTAATAGGTATGCGGTAGCATGACGACTGCATCCTATAAGTACTGCAGCCCCTTGTGCATGAACTACCCGTACCTGCTTTTGTCTCTGATGATGGGTTCGAGTGGTAATTCGAAACGTCAGGCTAATAAAGCTCTTGTCCCAGCGATCGCGTCTCCTTTTTCAAAATTCTCCATTTTATCCGTTATATATGATAGGACTGGTTTATGTGCGTTCCTGAAAATAAAATTCTCCGAGATCAAGTTAACAAGCAAGGTGTCACAGCCTTTGAGTATCATTTTAGCAGACTGCGAAAAAATAAAAATAAGTGTGTTGATATTTGGCACAAATAGGCTAATAAGCCTCCGCAGATATATCATCGTCCATTGGCGAGGACACCACGGACACATGAGTTCTCAAGGTCGTTCTTGTGCATGAAGAAGCATAGCGTGTGAGAAACATATAATGTTGCCAGTAATGTGAAAAAGTTAGAAACCCAGTGATAGCAGAGCATCATGCGGTTCATTTTTGTCCGGGCAGCCGTCGTGATTAACGCCGAAATATTAAATAAAATCCCCTATGTCCAGGGTCTTAGGTTCATATGCGGAGATCTTGTTGTCTCTGTAACCGAAAGAATTTGTTGATCTCTTGTGGGCTACAAACAAGAAAAAACAGAACCACTGGAGTTAAGAAGAGAACAACCTACCTGGGCATGAAAAAGTCTACGACGAGGAGAACTTTGATGCGGCGAAACTACCATCCTGCCTCGCATAACGTCTTCTTCGGAATATGCAGACTTTAGACAGCGTGATCAACCAAGGTCACTTCAGTCTGTACACATTGATGATGGCTTGCGGAGGCGATGTTGCGAGGGTGTTAACCACCCACCATATAGGCTACGGTTCGATGGAATAAGGTGGATCTTGTGAATTGGCACAGTTAACTTTTTTGCAGAAATCAGGAGCAGTGCAATGTTTGGCGGGAGTCATTCAGCACTGCGAAGGTAAACGCGTCCTCCCTCTGGATACTTGCGTTCTACCATTTTGCTTGCATTATGCGAACCAGAGATGAGATCTACAGGTTTCTGGGATGTTGACACCTGCTGTGTCGATAGCGAAGCGGTTATCGGCAAAGCTGGAAGTAAAATTGACGCAAGTAAAATCGCTTAAGCCGGACGGGTTGTTCTCGTTAGGCTCGCCACCAAGCCGCCCAGTATTGTGCTTAATCGTCGGGTTAACCTACGTACTCGCATGCTTGCTATCTGATCCCCTGAGAGTGGATGAGTCAGATTTGAATTCCAGCCACAAGCATATGCACAGACATCCAGGCTCAGAGGTGCCTTTGGTCAGTTATAAGTACTTTCGGACAGCACATTGGAACATGGAACTTTAAGTACAAATGAGACCGCAGTCGGAGACAACATATGAGCGATAGTACCGACTGAAATAACATGAAGGGAACGGTGTAGGCCAGGGAACTTCATATTTCTTGATATTAATCTGTGTAAGCTTAGTGGCAGATCTCGAGGAGACAGAGTCCCAGCTAGGCGACATAGGGGACCACGGAGGTAGAATGCTCAATGACAACTGCATCACTAAGCTTAATGGCTGAATGGACAGCAAGTGACAGGAGGTCACCAATGAAGAGGCGGCGGCTCGTAGGTGGTAGTGGGGGTGCCGGACAAATTTACTTCGAAAGTCGGGTGGCTCAACTCCAAATGAGTAGTAAGTTGGCCAGTAGTCATGCAATTCCGTGAAGCCCATTTAGCTATTTTTTGCAGCAAATACTGAGTGGTTTCGTCAGTATTAAGTGTTAATTACGTACGTAATTAACAGTGTACGTAAGTAATGCACAGTGTAGGTTCACGATATTCCACTTATTCAGGGAACTGAAACGAACCGACGGTAGGATGAGATGTCAGAAGATTTTCGTTCTGATACTGGCGTTAGACCCAGACACTAAGTAAATGAAGAAATCTCGGGTACATCATCCTCTGAATTGCGGATCCCGTTTAGGCGTTCCTAAACTTGGCAAGTCAACGCTGGGCAAAACGTACCAGGAATTACATGAAAGTCAACAGAAACGTTCTTCAGAAGAAAGTGAAACGTTAACAAATTGTTGTTAATCCGGGGGCGCCTGCGCATTCTCCTATTTCATCAACAGTAAATTCAATTCGGCAAATCTGTTGTTAAGACTTGGCTTTCACCCTCAGATTGCCTTACAGATGCTAAGAAATTTGGATGGCCCTTCGAGTATACGCTGAAAAAAACGACAGCCAGACACGAATCGGATGCTGTATACGCCCGCGCAGACGCAATGTTTAAGCTTGTCTGTATGGTGTGTAGAAGCACTAGTTCTAATAGAAGCGGAGACGAGTCCTAGGAAGTTGTCTTGAAGAGGGAGACACGTGTGATGACTGCTCGATCATCTGACGTACCGACCCTGGTGTTGGGACAAGTGTTCACATGTGCGCTCCCCGCGTGGCTAATTACTCCGCCTAGGCGAAGTCTCAGCACAGAGTATGGAAGGGGAAGTTCATTGCACTTGTTAATGGACTGGGGGCCAGTGAACCATGATTCAAGCAACTCGCGACTCACACGGTTGTCACCTCTAGCGAGGCTTCCGGCCTCGTCGAGTTTGAATGTGTGGTCGAGTCTTGTCGGATGAGCCGCAACTTGAGAGCTGTCGCCATTCCTTCGCACCGCTGCAGCGTGTTCGGCCAATCTCTTTCGGAGCTGTCTTCCGGTTTCTCCGATGTAGTTGCTTTGTGTCTCTTTCTTCAGCACTATTTATATTAGATAAAAGTGGAGGAAATGTCAAGAGCAAACTGCCTGCTGAATTATGAATGACTTGTTATTCGATCAGCCTTGGTGAATTAGATAGACGGCCTCGAAAAATCATGATGTAAATCGTAAGTAAGGACGTGGAGTTTAACTTTTAGCCTATTTTAGACGCCTATATGTGACACACTTACTTAACCACGATTCACTCAGTTAGCATCATTTTTTGTCCTTATGAAATTTACGTTAGAGAAAAAGGTTATTTAGTTCTGACCGCGGGAAAACTAACCCCAGTATTCCAAAGTGCTTTTGTTTAGAGACAGTAAACCGTTGCTCAAATTAATTAATAATTGATGTTTAAGGAATTCAGATAGAGTAAAGTCAACGTCTGGAAGTCTCAAACATCATTATTTGAATAACACAGAATAGTCCTGGAAATTTCCACTAGTAATTAGTCATGAAAGAGTCACCCTACCTTATCTCTGACGGTAGTCTTACGTTTTGGGCTAAGACTCTGCGGTTGCTCTGTTTTTACAAAAACTACTTTCGCATATATTGGCTAAACATAAAAGAGAGTTTGACCGGATTACCGCAGAGAAGAAGACAAGTTGATAGAAGCGAAAAGACGAGTTCCAGGTAGCAGTTCAGAAGACTAAGATGAAATCACTGGAAGAAGAAATTTATTGGCCTGACGTTTCGGGTTCTCACTCGAATCCATCATCAGAGACAGTCGCAGATAAAGGTGATGGTGGCACAGGGAGTGCAGTATTTATGGCAAGTGGCTGCCCTGGGACCATATGCGCGTTGTAATTAACAGATCTCGTAATCACCGCTGGGGTCGTAATTGATGCGGTGCTGGCTTGTTAGTCCGAGTCCGAGTCGTTAATGGCCGTGATTTCGTCATCCGTGTTGGATGCTGGTGTGACGATTTCCCGGCAAATTGGCTCACTGTCACTGGGATAATTGCTCGCCCGCGCCCTCCCCAAGTGACTCATTCCCCTGCCCAGGGAAAATCTTAGCACGGAATATGGTACGGGGAGGTCTTTGCGCTTGTTGATGGATTGCGGGCCTGAGAACCATGATTCGAGCAGCTCGCGGCTCACGCGGTTGTCATCCCTTGTGGGGATTTCGGCCTCTTGAAATTTGAAAATATTGCCGGGTCCCGTCAAATGTGCCGCCACCTGAGAGCTAGCGTCTCCCCGCCGCACTGCAGCTGCGTGCTCGGCAACTCGCATACGGAGTAATCTCCCCGTTTCTCCGACATAGTTGCTTTGTCCGCAATTGCGCCAGATCCGGTAAACGACTCCAGACGTTTCCTGCCGTGGCAGCGGATCTTTCGGCTTCATGACTTGGCGCCTAATGGTTGCTTCCTGCCTGTGGGCAACCCCAACTGCAAGTGGAGTGAGAAGACGACTGACGGCTTCACGTACGGGAGAGCCCGCCAAAATTTGGTGCCGGTTGCATTTGGTCTCTGGTGTCGTTTTCGTATGCACTGGTTGACAAAGTTGCGCGGGTCCTAAAGTCAAAAGCCAAGTCCTAAAGCTGTCAGCGTTGTCTCACCAGAATCCCTAACCGTGCTAAATTAAGCATAATCCGAAAACGCACTAGGCGGCGTCATCCTGTTTGCAGAGAACGTGAGCCTAACAGCAAAACTGCGATTCTGATGGCACCCTGACTTTTTGCGTAAAATACTGCCCGTTTCATTTGACAAACCCCACATAACTACCACTCCTAGAAGCACCACCTGCTACCTGGATCATCAGACCACGTGCTCTGCTGTATTTCTCAGGGTACATGTGAAACAAGCGTGTGCAGGCACATTTAGCCTCAAGACAGTAACCCAACGCGATACTTAACACATTGGCACAAAAATAATGACAATGTGTGCCAACGTGGGGTGACTATGTGGCGATTCTGTTGAAGGACAAATCCAGAAAGGTCTAGAACAGACTTGCTACTTAAGTATCCAATCGATCGTCTTAGGTTATCTATTCGAGCTGGCTTGACAAACCTAAGCAGACGGATCGTGGAGTGCATACTTCGAGAAGAATTTGACTTGGATTTTCCAAGTTGTTTTGGTCGTACGGATGTAAAATCCGTGCTTGATCTGGGTTTCTTCGATAACCATATTTTTTTCCAAAACCAATATTATCCTGAAGGAAAGTTCCTTTGTATTGGACGAAGGAAATTTATGATCGCAAATGTTGACAACCACTGTGATGGAAGACAGATTACCGCCGACTTTTAATGAGAGGCAAGGAAAATGATTAGTAATAATTGACAAGCGTCTCCATTTAAAGCCCATTCAGTCAGTAGGTTAGTCTGACTTGCGTTGCAGTAGTATTACATTGGCCTGTTAAAACAGAATGATAAAATCCAAAAAGTCATTACAGATGAAGAGGCGAACGCAATAAACCAACTAACTAACCAACCAACCAACCAACCAACCACCACCACCTACTACGACGACGACAGTTTGACCGTCCGTAAGCTACGACGCCTATGTCCTGCCCAACGTATTGTCGCAGTAAGGTCGGCATGCGTGTGAGTTAGTCCATAGCAAAGCAGTCTTGCGCAAAATCTGCCGTTATCCATTTGCCATGCGATTATTTTAAAGATATATTCAACATTTGGAGGACTGACCAACGATAGTCCGTAGACTGAATAAATATACCCATTAGTCTTACGCACAATTCTTCCTCGATTGGGCCTACCTAAAATACAGTATAGATACATTTCCGAGAATATAATAGGATCGCCGAGTACACTGGGCACCGTGTCTTGAATCCTTATAAAAGACGAGGCCAAATAACGTAATCTTTCATTCCTACCAATAAAAACAAACGGGCAGTCTACAATATCAATGCCATAGTTTAGAGACCGCAGAGATGCGTCATGTAATACTTTGGGTCAGACCAGAAAATAACGGAAATTTGGTAACGACAGCAGCGTCTGTCCCGATGGTCCAAATGTGAGACCGAATAGGTGGCTCCTAGGCGAGCCACAATATCGCGAACAACGATGTCCCCTCAGAGCGGGAGCAGCACCGTTAAGTTGCACCGGAACTAGTTAACAGGAAGGCAGAATTACGCCTCATTTATCGCACTCTCCTTCCTCACCAAACCAGATTTTGAAGACAAGATAACGTCAAGACAGTCGGAAGCGGGCTCCAGGGCAGTCCTGTTACTGAGTGGTTCAACAACAAGCGATTCCCGAGTTGAACAGACCTTCGGAAGGTGGCCATGTGAGGTTTCAGCAGGACACGGCCTCTCCAGCTCATGTTCATTTCCCGTGCCATTACTTCAATGAGATATAATACGAGTGGCGAACTGACTTACGATGGTCCGTAGATTGGACACCCATGCCCACTGATCTAGCACACAATTCTTCTCCCCTCAGGTCAACCTAAAATACAGGACAGATCATTTGCCACCACTATACCCGGCATCGCGTCCCCCAATTGACGGGTACTCTACAATTCATACCTTGTGGTCCTCAAAGCTGCGTCATGCAATTTTTGGAAGTCAGACCGGAAAATAACGAGAATTTGGTAACAACATCAATAGGTGGTGTAGAAACGATACGATTAAGATTGACGTCATGTACTCTCGATTTATACCAACGTCTGCATGTCAGCATTGTACGCAAATTTGGCTGTCACGGCAGTCCATCTGTGAAACCAAAGGCCTTGATCATAGGACAGCACAACCATCGCGAGCGACATCGTCCACTGTGTGAGCGGGCGCAGCACCGATGACTTACACATGAATTAGTTTACGGTGAGGCAGACTTACGCCGCATCTACCGCACTCTCGTTCCTCACAAAACTAGATTTTGAAGGCAAGATAACGTCAAGACGGTCGGAAGTGGACTCGGGAGCACTGGCAACAATGTTAATCGGCACGTCGACGCATGTCAAACACGGCTTGCTCCCCAGGGCACTCACTGCGATTTCATTGAGCCAGCCCGGACCCACAATGTAAGAGACTGCCATAAAGACCACATTAAGAAGGATAACTGTCAATTAGGTCCTTCAAAACATTTTTCAGTCGATCGACTTAGTCCGTCATCTGTCAACCTTCCAAATCCCGACACGTAGCGCCTCATAACAGATTCAATTTAGGGAGGAATGCGCTGATATGTCGTGGAGATGAATTCTCAAGTCTCGACTTCGCCCTCCTGTCCTTGTTCCTCTCGCCAGTCGGCTGTCCAAGCCTGTCAATCAGCTTGTGTTAGGATTGCCCATCAAAGCCCAACATAGCATTTAATTTACAGGCATTCCTGAACCCCGCGATGTCTTTTGAAGTGATGGGTCAACCGAATGTCTGACTACCACATGATGATTCCATCGGGATTGCTAAATGAGCCGTAACATGAACGATGGGTTTGTTCCCCATCGGTTCCTCTGCGTGCACCAACAACCGCCTGCGAACTAAACACCGAGTTTCTCCAGCACAACTTATTTCGTCCGAAATCGCACCAGATGGGGCAAACAGCCCTGACGTATCTGCTATTGTCTCTGATGCTGGGCTCGAGCAGGAATCCGAAACGTCAGGCAAATAAAGCTCTTGTCCCAGCGATCGTGTCTCCTTCTTCACGACTATACCTGACGTCTCTTGTCATGACTACATCTATCTCGACCTCGATCAATGGCGCCTGATGATGGCCTCCAATGTCTATGTACAAAGGATCGAGTCTCCGACTTCGCAACTGCTTCGAGGCACAGGCACTGGCACTTGAGTATTTTGTTAATTACGAGTACCCATTGGCATATTCTGAGATCTTTTGGTAAGAAGATAGGTAAGTGCGCTTGTATCGACAGTGAACACCCCCTACCAGCCTCAGGCATTCTCGTCGCCTACGCGATCAGCTGAGCTAGGTAGAGGGCGGCCCTTCTAAAAATGACAGGTGTGAGTGTCCTGTCAGGTGAGGTTGAATGTAAAAATAGCGAAAATACGCGCTATCTACTCGAAAGGTCAATAAGCCGCCAGGACATCATTCTGGGCTCAAAACCTACGGCCTTGGCTAAAATTCCTTACAAATGTCTACAAGTGCGACAGCTGTGAATGGCAAAGCCTGAATACATCGGTCATTCAAAGACAACGAGCCAAGATCGTAGTATACGTCCCTACTGTTTGGCGCAATCAGGACATTCCTGTCTGTCTGTCTGTCAGGACAAACGCCGAGGTGTCTATGAAGGTTCTCCGTCGTTCATACTTCCGTCTGATACGCGCATGAATATTCTGTTAATCGAAAATAATTTATAGAATATTATCAAGCGTTTTGGCAAAAAGACGACTAAGTTTGCTAATGGGACCATCTATCCACCGACTAGTTTCAAACTGGTCCACACAGTTTAACAGTTGTAGATGTTGCCGCCATCGAAGTAGTCGGCTCCACTCGCATTTCCTGAACCAACGAGGTGCCGCCCTACATGCGGACGTTTGTCTTCCTCTAAACTGGCGCTGCCTATTTTGGTGAGTAAGTGTACTGACACAACTGTCTTCAGATTGACACTCGTTCGGCAGCATAGTTCAGCGTTAAATATTTTTCATTCGAACGAATTATCCGAAACTGAATACCGTACTTTGCAAATTATCCAGTGAAAGTCACCCAAACCCACAAAAAATGACTTGACTTAAAAATAATGCATAGAAACAACGGCACCGAATTCCCATCCAGACATAACAATAAACATTTGGCTTTCGGGATGGCACACGTGACAATCGGAGAAACTTGCAGGCTTCAACTCTATTTTTAGGTTACACGCAAATGAAAGAATATTTCGTAAAGGAGGTCGTACGTTTTGTAAAAACAAACCGAGGCTATTAGCTTTGTGCAGCCAAATAATTTACACATTTCTACTCACTCCTCATGGTTTCTTCGAAAAAAATGATGCATGTCCATTTACAGAATCAAACCACATTCAACCATCTGTGGGCGTTTGGCGCCCTCTTTGAAGGTCACAATGCCAGCAGGACACCATGCTTGACTTAAAACCACGGCCTCAGGAAATTTTCGTTACAAACGTCTACATCTTCGACAGCCTGAATGAATCAGTCACTCAAAGACGTGTCATCATCCCAATGTGCGCTCATACCCTTTGACGCTTTCAAAATATTTTCGTCTGTCTATTAAGGTTCTCCGTCGTCCATTCTTGGGTTTAATAAGTTCACGAGGGCAGCGGTCGGTGTAGGATCCGAATAATTTTCGATAGCCTGTGGACCGCGTCATAAGTTGAATGGCGGTAGAGGGGGTTCTGCGGGTGGGATAAGACGCAGGATCGAAAGCAAGAAGACACGGAAAGTGAATACGTTTCCTCCGCAAGTCTTATCTTACGCCGTCAATTGGCAAAGAAAGTGAGCGTGATCATTGAAATGCAAACAAAAAACAATTTTCGACAAAGGACTTTGAATAAAGCGCCGCTGGCAGGTTCACATTTGTCAGGAAGGCAAGGAAATATCTACCAATGTGGAAGGTGGATAACAAGTGGGGTTTGCAGTCACACTGGGTTTTAATGTATATTCTGGAGTTGATGCCTACGTGGGCTCCTACACCCTACCATTACCCTCATGAATATTTTGTTAATTACGAGTATCTATTGGCACAATCGGAGATCTTTTGGTAAAAGACAGGTAGGTGCGTTTTTGTGTCCGTCCGGGCCGAGGTGTACAGTTTAACAGTTGCAGATATTACCATCTTCGAAATAGTCCTGTCTACTCCTTTTCTCTGAACCAATGAGGTGTCACATTTCACGTGGAAATTTCCTTTTCTATTAATTGAGGTTGTTTACTTCGTTGGGCAAGTATACTGATGCCTTTGTCTACGGGCTGACACTCAATCTCAGACCGATGCGATAACACGGCGCGGAACGCTTAACCGAAAGAAGGTAGTGTGTTTAGCCTGCACCGTCCCTGTTACACGAACTCACCTGCATTTAGGCAGCAGTGTCCGTCTTAGCCAGCATTTAAATTAAAAGCATTTTTCTTTTGAATGTTCAACGCGTAACTCGATGCCGTAATTTGCACATTATCCAGTGGAACTCATCCAAACCCGCAAAACGTATTTGATCTAAAAAATGCATAGACAAATCTGCGTTCACTTTATATCCCGACCTAACGATAAGCATTTCGTTTTCGGGGTAACACACGAGAACATCCTGAAACTTGAAGTCTTACAAATCTCCTATCAGGCAACAGGCACAGTTCTGCTCACCCCTCATGGTTTCTTCGAATTAACTGAAGCATGTCAATTTGCAGAATTAACCTAGCTTAGGCTACACGCAAACGATCGAATATTTCAAAGAAGCAGGTCGCAGGTTATGTAAAAACAAACGGGAACTAGTACCTTTGTGCAGCCAAATAATTCCCACATTTCTGCCCACCCCTCATGGTCTCATCAAAGAAAACTGAAGCATGTCAATTTGCAGAATTAACCTACCTTCTACCATCTGTGGGTGTTTGGCGCACTCTCAACCTCGCCTCCGCAAACACCCTAACTATGCCAGCAGACATCTGACTGGTTGATCACGCTGTCATGGCCTCCTTATTCCAGCAATAAAAGCAGGCGCCTGTGACAAAGAAGGACCATGAGAAGGCGGTCAGGCATTATCAGCGTTCTTCGTGTCGAAGGATTCCGCATGCCAAGGTAAGTCCTTCACTTCCCAACTGCAAACGCCTCCACTTTTCCTTCATTACAGCACACAGGAGGTCGACAAATTCTTTCGGAAACTGGACATTGACGGAAACGACAGGATCTCCGCAGACGAGCTCCTTTACATCCTGAATTTGGATGGCATCACGAGGGCGGACATTGAGCAATTCATCGCAAATTTCGACGTCAATCACGACGGCTGCTTGGACAAAAGCGAGCTGCGTAATCTCCTGCTATCGTTGGGTTTCTAATTTGTGCATTTTATTGGCAATACCGTGTGCTGATCACACACGATGCTTCTCTGTGACCAATAAGACAATCTTGAAATCTCCTGTGTTCATGCAGGTCTAATGGATGGGACGGAGACGTGATTGAGTGAGGCCTCTTAGATCATGTGTGCCAGATATGCACATAGTAGCTCCCGCTTATTTCCGGTCTGCTATAGCATTACTTGAAACTTGCGCTACCTTAGTTGGTGACTGGTTTTTAAGGCATTTGATTTACGAATGAGACTGGGGTCGGTCAGGATGAATGCAGTTAGTAAGCGTGAATCGGTCCTTGTTTTCAAATAGTTGTCAAGATGAGCCGTATGATGTTCAATTTGAGCTTTCGTTTCAGCAGTTTAACGTCCGGAAGAGGATCTCGCTGATAATAATTCGTGTTCGCCATCCCTGTGAATTATTTTGACGATATGAATTCACGCGCGGACTTTTGCTGATTTATGTGGAGCAAGCTGGGATGAAGCCGATTTGCAGCACATGTAGAATCGACGTTACTGAAACATGCTGGGCTGTAGAGTGGGGAAATCTGTTTCAGTCAGTTTCCTTTGCATATTTGATTTCACAAAGCCATATTATGCACGAGAGGGCCGTGGTTTATCTCGAATCTAGCATCAATTTAAAACGAGGTGTAGGGTTCATAGATTGGCGAATTCACTGAGGCCTAAAGTTTTGATTGATTCTGATGGGCGATATGGGGAACGAGGAGGCCATAGTTCAAAATATAACCGTCAATTCAACTTAAAAGCTGGCTATTGGAGAAAGAAACTGCAAATAGACCACATAAAATCCAAACTTTTTGAAAATTTACTTGAGAGCGTAAAAGTGCTCAGACTCGTTCAGTCAGAGACAGAAACTGGAGTTGGTGTGTGGCCAGTGACTGTTTCCTGCTGCGAACATAACTAACTTATTTGCAATCTAGATGTTTCCTGATTCATAATACCGGCATCAAAAATACCGATCGAGGATCCAGACACGTGTTTTCCATAGTGCAACTGCGAGGAGTTCGATTTATCAGTGGGTCAGTCAGCGTGCCCCATGTGTTCTAAATGTGAAATTTCAACGATTCACCGAGACAAGTTCGGAGTCCACGAGGAAACACAACGAAGGATGTCTCAGTCAAGGAAAGCCTCTTAGAAGGCTGAAACAATAAAGCCCCCCATAATTCGAACCCAAAGTTTGCAGAATCTTACAGAGAGAGGCCCCTGGAGGCAGTCAAAAATTTGCATTTAATCGGTTTGGCTGTTTACTGACGGGATACCACAAAATTGTACATTTCTGTCAGGTCAGTGCTACTGACGAGACCCCCACAGATAATTCTCTCTGAAATATAAAGTCGTCCACATTTCATCTAGAAAAGCTTGGTTGAGAGGTTTCGCTAAGGAATAGAACACCGCCGGTAGACGTGTCCTTTATCAATCACCCCCGTGTTTCAGGACAGTCGTCGACTTATTTTCTTCCCTTCATTAAAACCCCAGCTATCAAGGGTCGAACGGTGTTTTACAAGAGTTTTCCCTATGCGGATTTACCTTTTTACAGAAAATTTTGTACTGAAAATAATGCCCATGACAGCAGTTTGGTCGATCTATTGGACCGGCCTTACTCACTCGTCTAATTCCCGTATATGGTCGGTAAAAAATTCAGCTGCTAGCCAGTGGACTTCGTTGTCGGCGGAAGCTTGCTGTTAGAATGAGGCCTACACACTCCCGAGGACGAAGGTCAAGTGTGTGCCATGTAGGCAATTGCGTGCGCTAAAATTGCACGCCTTAACAGAAACAAAAACTAGCCGACAGAAAGGTGAACTAGCTTCTTACTCATTTTAGCTCTACGTAGGTTCTCAAGACATCTTAAGTAGAAACAAAACTAAAAAGCTCCGATTTTCGCGAATTGCCTGAAATCCCTGAAATATAAACAACATAGACTTTCTACGGAAATGTGCGATATCGCAGGACAATGGAGTGCACCCATTTTGGCTTGTGAACGGAACTGTCTGCTGCATATATGATCACTGCCTAAACAAATATCTCCCATCAAAGGATGTTTACAGTGATAAAATTAGAAAGAAAAAACCCGGAGATGGGAAAATGAGAGTGGGGAAGTAGGACCGCAATCAACATTGTTCCACAGCCATCCCAGTTTGTAACCCCAAGGAGTGATGAGCAGGAATACTCAGGAGAAAAATGGGCAATTATTTCTGCAAACACAATGAAGGAATGTGAATCGGAATATTGCGTAATAGCAGAAGTCTGGCATTCCTTCAGAGGTGCCGGACGCCTTAGACACTGAGCCTGTGCCATCACTGAAAACACGCACACAAACTCTCATCCTTCGACTTTGCACAGTAAACAAAACTATTCATTAGACTTACTCCTAGTTCGAGATTACACATGCGTACCGACGCAGCAAATGTGAGTGCGGAAAATTTCCTCATGATTTAGGGCTATGATCATCAGACAGGCCGCCCACGCGTCCCAACTACACAGCCCCGTCCTTCATGTCGTGCCGTGTCGCCGAGTGCACTTGTCTGTTACGACCTGAGGCCAGTCTGCACACGCACATTCAGGGCGCCTTCAATGGAGGTTAGAATTCCAGATGAGCGTTGCATACTGCAACACAATGACTCCGCAATATGAGACTCGGGGGACAAAAACATGAAATTGTAGTTCGACCGTCGCATCCCACGATGTTCACCATATGCCCCCACAGCAGGTTGAGACCAGGGACGGTAACTTGCGAATGATTTGTGGTGAGAGTAGACTTTTGCTACATCTACCACATTCTCTCCCCCTCCCCGCCTGAACCAAGTGTCAAGACAGAGTCAGGATGACCGGAGACGGGGGAGGGAGAAGATGGATGGCACGGTCGAGCCCGCACCTTGGCTTTCCACTACACACCCCCTGCACCACACAGCAAATAAACAGAATTTTATTCAATAACAAAAGGGTTTCTCTCACCGCCGAAACCGCCACTAGACGTGCAATCGCACCTGGCTCGGATCCCACAAAGTGCGAGTGTCATAAATACCGCATTAAGAAGGAGTCATTGCACACTGACTCTCAGACCAACAGTCGGCCACTGCACACAAACAAACAACACTCGGCCGACTGCGAGTTCCAAGTTTTCTCGTCAGATGGCAACTTTCGAAACCACCGCCTTTAACGCACCGTGATAACTTCAAGCACGTCAGATTTTTTATGCTGTGGAAAATGTGCTGAGTGGTCGACCTCACTCTCCCTCCCCATACCCATGCCGTAGTCACTGTCCGAGCCGGTCAGTTGACAGGTGGGGGGAATGGGCGCGGCGGGTGAAACATCCAGTGCTCTTTCCTGCGAACGCGCATGCATGACCTGGTCCCTCAAACACAAGTACCAGGACTTCGCACAACGGTGGTTAAGCGGCGCACCTCTCACATGCGTGAGAGTGCCGTGGAAGGAGCTGCTTGAGCCCGGCTCTCAGCCCACCAGTCCGCCACTCCACATACCTGGACGGACTGCGTGGTCTGAGTTGGGGCGTCACTCAGCAGTCTTCCAGCCACGGCGCTTAACGCGCCGAGATAGTCTTAGGTTCGAGTCCCCCATTCAACGTGAGTTGCGAGGAGGCCGAGTCGGGACGCGCACTTCCCATTTACGCAGGAGGTGTCAATTGGATGCTCGTGGTGGGTGAGGCTGATGTGCGAGGAGATGGTGGTGATTGAGGATGTGATGATGTGGTTTCTAGGTGTATTACGTCCCGTTGATGCATCTTTTCTTCTGCCTAGGGACATATGAACGCGATTCCCCCCCTTTGGTGCAGGCGAATGTGTACTCTGCCGATCTACCTGCCGACCGTCGTCTACTTGAAGACGCCTAGCAGTTGGCATGAAGTACTGTTGGGGTTGGGGTTAGAGGTTAGGGATAGGGCTTGCGGTTAGAGATTAGAGATAGGGGTGAGGGTTAGGGTTGGAAGTTAGGATTAAGGGTTTGGGCAACTATTTCTCAACCACTCAAAGTACAACCGCACATTTCCAATAGCTTTTCTTTTGCATACAATTACTTGACCTCGTCGCCTGTGCGTTCCCTGGTCTCACCTGTAAATACCTCTGTTACCACCCGTCCCATATTACAGGTGGCTGGGCTTTTTTACTTCAGGTAGGGCTACATGACCACATCTGACCAAAAGTTCAATTTGTACGACATCTCGGGTCCACTCTTGAACCGACATCAGCGTGAGCGACAGGTGGCAGTTCTTGTGAACCAGACTGCCGGGTCATCCTCATGTCAATCGCAAAAACTGAGAACGAAATCGTGGCCGCTAATGACTCGGATTTGGGTGGCAAGTCTGTCTTCGCATCAGATAAGGACATTTGCGGCAGATGCGTTGGCGTCTCTTGTCATGACTACAGCCATTTCGACCTCGTTCAATGGCGCCTGATGATTGCCTCCAGTGTCCATGAACAAAGGATCGAGTCTCCGACTTCGCAAGTGCTTCGAGGCACAGACAAGGGCGCTTGAGTATTTTGTTAATTACGAGTACCCATTGGCATATTCTGAGATCTTTTGGTAAGAAGATAGGTAAGTGCGCTTGTATCGACGGTGAACACCCCCTACCTGCCTCAGGCATTCTCGTCGCCTACACGAACAGCTGAGCTAGGTAGAGGGCGGCTCCTCTAAAAATGACAGGTGTGAGTGTCCTGTCAGATGAGGTTGAATGTAAAAATAGCGAAAATACGCGCTATCTACTCAAAAGGTCAATATGCCACCAGGACATCATTCTGGGCTCTAAACCACGGTCTCGGCTAACATTCCTTACAAATGTCTACAAGTGCGACAGCTGTGAATGGCAAAGCCTGAATACATCAGTCATTCAAAGACAACGATCCATGGTCGTAGTATACGCCCCTACTGTTTGGCGCAATCAGGACATTCCTGTTTGTCTATCTGTCAGGACAAACTGCGAGGTGTCTATGAAGGTCCTCCGTCGTTCATAATTCCGTCTGATACGCGCATGAATATTCTGTTAATTGCAAATAATTTACAGAATATTATCAGGCGTTTTGACAAAAAGATAACTAAGTTTGCTTATGGGGCCATCTATCCACCGACTAGTTTCGAACTGATCCACACAGTTTAACAGTTGTAGATGTTTCCGGCTTCGAAGTAGTCGGCTCTACTTGCTTTTTCTGAACCAACGAGGTGCCGCCCTGCATGCGGACGCTTAACGCGCCGAGATAATCTTAGGTCCGAGTCCTCCATGCAACGTGAGTCACAAGTAGACCGAGTCGAGACGCGCAGGAGGTGTCAATTGGATGCTCGTGGTGGGTGATGCTGATGTGCGAGGAGATGGTGGAGAATGTGATGATGATGATGTGGTTTCTGGGTGTATTACGTCCAGATGATGCATATTTTCTTCTGCCTAGGTACATATGAATGCGATTCTCCCCCCTTTGGTGTAGGCGAATATGGATTCTGTCGATATACCTGCCGACCTCCGTCCACTTATAAATCCACTTGAAGACACCTTGCCATTGACATAAAGTGCATGTACGGACTGCCAGCAGTTACAAGGATCTGCAGCTGACAATACGATCTGCTGAACTCGGCAGTGGGAGCCTGTTTAAAAAGCAGTAGGCTTGGGGGACTTTCTGAGGCGTCTTGTTGTATGACCTTGAAAAGGATACTCGATGCCTCCCACCGGCGCCAGCAGGATGGTAGGGGTCTCGGACAGGCGGTGAGACACGAGTGCTGTGTGATTTCTTTTTGGGCAGGTAAACAGTTTGCGGTTCCAAAGAAGGGTTAAACAGAGATGAACGGACTAAATAAACACTCGGACTTGTATATATACAGCGAGTGACCCATTCCATAAAATGCTAGCTGAAATTCTGAGATGTGTTTTCGAGTTGGATAAATTACATAGGCGAGGTTACAATATTAATTATTACGCGGGATAATCCCATGATATTTCGGACTCGTCAGAATATTCGCTCTCCGGGCCTCCTGTAAAAAATCCACTCGGAAAAAATGACTAATTATAGAGTATGCTTTTTTTCACATCGATTTTCGATGGCCTTATATAGAGCACTGTATCTTATAGAAAAAATATAAAGAATATTTTTTCTACTACCAATCTGATAGCAGATCACGTCTTCTTCCCATTTTATGTTTGAAGAAAGGGTATATATATAGGTCTTGAAACACTTGTTCATTTCCCGAATAATTCTGAGCCAAATCAGCTGTTGCATTAGCATTTAGCGACTTCAGTTACGGGATGCATACTTTCCGCGTTAGACGAACCATATACTCCTTAATGGCTTTAAGAAGATACCGTATATAGTTCATGCAATTTTCCAGTGGATGTGGACTACGTTGTACATTTTATGAGGAACACTTATAAACGGACAGCTACAATACTGTATGAATGGACATTGAACGGCCTCAAAAATCTCGAAATCAGAAATGTTTTTAAAAACGAAAGGGCTAACATTTTCTGAGATCGGCCACTCAGTGTAGCTTTGCGTTAGCTCGCCAGTTGCGTCTGAATTCCAATAAAGACGCTGGACTGTTTGAGATCCCACAAACCTCCGCAGTATGTACAGTACGTGATCAATCTTATGAAATCTGATGACGGACACTGATACAATAATTTATGACGTCTTTAACGTTGCACATATTGTTCGCTCATCCCCTTCCATCAATAGAATGTCCTTTTCTCATGCAGGGAGTAAGCTTACGCAATTATATCAAATAAAATATCAGTAAAATTTAGCGAAAATGAACGTCAGAATATATTCGTGCAATTTCCTATGCTAATACTTGTCCTAGACTCCGGTTAAGCATCCGAGTGATGTTTTCAATGAAAGGATAGTAATTTACCCGAGAGGGTTTTAATAAACAGATTTAGCAGGACTTGAAAACTAATTTTATGTCCAATGCTAACAGCAGTAATCAACTTGCAAACGTAAAGGTTATTTTAACAAAACCGGAGGTGTTATAAATTCCTACAAGTCGAATTGGCAGACCTGTGCGATTTGGTGCCCTAAAGAGCAGTAATAACGCAGATAGGGATTCCTTCGTTTAAGTGGGCTGAAATTTTTTTGTCAATAGGAAAATGCTAACTTATGTCACAAAAACAACTACCACCAAATGGTAATTTCCAGTTCTGAGCATATGAAACACTACTTTTCATATAGTTTAGTTTCTGTGCACAACTTATACAGAAACAGAACGAACAAAACATTAATATTTTCAGCAAAGTATTAACATTTATATGGGCGCTCTGCCGTGCATTCATAACTGAATAACGGGGTTTAAAAGCGAGTAAAAACAGTGGAAATGGTCTCAATATTGAGAGCATTTTTTGTACGTTTATGGTAGAAAAATATTGGTATTGTTTAGTAACCAAAGTGTCAAATTTTTGCTTGACCTCACCGTGAAAAAATGCAAGTTACACAGAGATGCGTAAACGGAGCGCAGAAATAAAGTACTTCGTAAAGACGTAACTGATTAAGGAAAGTTTTATTATTGATCGAAGGTTTATTCGTTGCTGACTTTCGTTGAGGACAGCCATTTTTTTTGAAAATGAAGTTTTATGTTTGAATGAGTCTTCACGAGTGACCAAACGACCATCTTCGTGAAAAGGAGCGCCCGAACACTCACTAATTCGGTAAATGCCTTCAAGAATAACCGTATTTTAAAGTTCTTAACGGACAGGTAGTTCAGAATCTGTGTTTATGGAAGATCGGGTGAAAACATTGAAAATCATGAAGCATTCATTAAAAATTCGAGGCCAATCTGACACTTAACGTAATCTAAAACGAATGAAAAGTGTAAATTAAGTTAACGGAATAAGTATTCTCTCTAAAAACGCAAAATAGTATGTTGACGATCACGTCTGTCAGTTCTACTTAAATTTATTAGGCACCGATCGGCCTGAATGCATGTCACCTTATGAAAACGTTTGTTCCTACAAGGTCCCCATCGGTGAAATCAAGCACACTCCATTTTTCCTCGTTAAAACAGATCTCATATAACTCAAAAAATTTAAGGATAACACGAATCGCTGGAAAACTTCTTTTGAATGTACACTAAGAATGCAGGCAGTTGACAAACCGTCATATATGAAATGGCACTAATTATTATACGATATTTAGATGAAAACTTCACTGAAACATTACTATTAGACGGTATTTGATTTTTGGAAATTACACTCGGAAGGTAGGCAGTTGCCAAAAGGTCATATATGAAGTCTCACTAATTATTATACGATATTTAGATGAAAACCTAACTAAAATATTATTATTAGACGTTGTTTTATTTTTACTTTCATATTTACTACGTGTTTGGTAAGCAAATACATTCTATACATCTAAAAACGAAGTTTACTAAATCAGGGCCATTTCTGACGTTTTCTGAATATTGCGTCTTTCTAAAAATCTCGGCATTTATAAACAAGGCAACACTGCCTTTAATATTTCTTTTATGTTTTTAATTCCTTTAAACTTGTACTCAAATATCATAGACATCGGACTCATGAAATTGTGTCGGTTTGCGAGTGATTGGCAATCATTCGTAAATTTCCGCAAATTTAATGATCTGGGTAAAGGACTGTATGCACATCCAAGCGTCAGTCATGGCTATATTTTTAGTGGTTTCGCTTCATACAGCAGGTCCTATTCATTTAATAGGGCCACATAATTAAATGTGCAACGCTCTCCTGTGCTTGAGTGTTTTTTTACCTCAGAAACCATCAACTTCCTGAACTCATCTCTATCATACCCACATGTACTCCAAGCTCCCAGTTCCACTTGTACAGTGCAAGTGTTGTTACCTGTAACTGTTTAATCGTCACACGGCATCTCTGTTCTGTCCGACATACCATTCAGGGTCTCGAGTACCCCGGTTCTCTTTGACTCAGAAACGAGATCAGAGAAATTTACTGTAAGCGGTGTTGCTCAGGCAGTCCTGTTTCCTATCTACTGGACGGCGAAACGAGTGCACAAGCGAGGGGACCTTACGGGTCGCCGCAAATGAACCTCCACTTTATTCATACCCATCTGTACTGCTCTGCCCTTCGTATGCACGTAGAAAGTCCTTCAGTCCAGTATATCTGCCTTTTCACGATTTTATTGTCCTTTACGCCCTATTTTCTCGGGTATCGCGGATGCGTGGCATTGTTCCTGAATTACACTCAGAAATCTTTGTAGTTCCTTCGCGTCGCCTTCTAGGCAAATATTGACATAATAGTGTTGTACTCTGTAGTATTTCCGACGAAAAGTAGCCATAGATGAACTGCGGGAGCCAACTGACGTGGGCGAAGCTCAATCATTGGAATAAAAATTCGGTAAGATGTGGTTATGTAGGTCCACCTGATGGACACAGTATTGCTGGGGTTAGAGGTTAGGGATAGGGGTTATGGTTAGGTGGTAAGAGTTAGGGTTAGAGGTCAGGATTGGAGGTTAGGGCAACTATTTACCAACCACTCAAAGTACAAATGCACATTCCCAAAAGCTTTTCTTTTGCATACAATTACATGACCTCGTCGCCTGTGCGTTCGTTCCCCGTTCCCCACCTCTATTACCACCGGTTCTGTATTACAGGCGGCCGGGGTTCGTTTACTTCAACTGGGGCTACATAACCACATCTGACCAAAAATGCAATTCGCACGACATCTCGGATCAACCCTTGAACCGAAATCAGAGTGAGCGACAGGTGGCAGTTCTTGTGAACCAGACTGCCGGATCACCCTCATGTCAGTCGCTAAAACTAAGAGCGAAATCGTAGCCGCTAATGACCCGGATTTGGGTGGCAAGTCTGTCTTCGCATCAGATAAGGACATTTGCAGCAGATACGTTGGCTGGTAACTTTAGTAGATGTTAGCTTACGCAGTCACGTCACGCTATACAATTGTATCTGATGTTGTCTCTGGTGGTGGATTCGAAAGAAAACCAGATATGTCAGTTGAACGAAATTCCTGTTCCAATCAGAAGAGACCCTTCTCAGTAGTTTGCCTCATCCCGTCGAATTAAAACTGCTCTGTCAAGTGAAGGTGAAGGATAAAAGAGTCAACACTTAGATGAACCAAAGATGCAAAAGATTTATCGCCCTTGTCAGTCTTAAAGACTAAAACTTCTTCTCAGATTTAACCACCTGCCGGGATTGGCGAGTTGACCTTGTTTCTGTTTGTCTGATAACTGTAGTCTTATTCCACGTCAAAATTACTCTAGAGGCGAAAATTGTTTTGTGGTGACCGAAAGAAAATAATCGTAAATTTCAGGGTCAGTTGTGGTCGAACATAGAAATCGTCGACTTGTATGTGAGAGGTAAGGAAAGTGAGTTATAATAAAGTAAATGCAGGGAACGGTCAGACACCACCATTTAAAGCCCATACAGCCAGTGGGTTGGCCTAACTTGCATAGCAGTGGTAGTGTCCTCTTGATGCGCCAAAATGGAGACGACAACATCCTGAGGGTCATAACAGATGAAAAGTCTAGAGCGACGAGATTAACCGGTGGCGAGGACGACGACGACGACGACGACAGGTTGACCGTCGCAGTCGATGACGTACATCGTCTACCGCAAGGCTTCCGCGCAGCACAGGTGACGTGCGTATGAATTCGTTTATAGCGAGGTGGGCTTGAACAGCATCTGTCGTTCCGCTCACCTTTTTCCGAAAGCAAATAAAATGCCAGGACGACCGGGAAGGGAACGCAGTCGCAGTACTTGACAAAACCAAAAAAATGCGTCTACGCAATCCACGCAATTCATGCTCCCCAGTACATGCAAAAGTCTCCAACAAGGACAATTCGGACCCCACATGGGGGAGGATCCAATGAAAGCTCTACTATGGAGGAGCCAGTGTGGTCTGACGTTGAGTCTATTGGAGGATCGGGTTAATCCGCCAGTTGGCGACCATCCAAACGGACTTTGATACAGTAGGTGGGTTGACTCATGAAATGTCAACCGAAATTCCGAAATGCGTCTTCGTTTCAAAAAGATCAATTAGTTGGGGCTGCAAAACTAGTCATTCTGCAACATAATTCCATAATATTTCAGTTACGCCAAGATGTCGACTTTCGAATGAACTTTCTTCCGGCTGCATTCAAAAATCGCACTCTGTAAAAACTGACTACATAGTAAGCATGCATTTTTCTCACTGATTTCCGATACCGCTAAAAGTTCAATTATATTTCACGGAAAACATGCATAAAAGTATTAATTAATTCCCTCGTTCGGTAGATAATTATGTCTTCTTCCAATTTTATACTCAAAGGAGGGACATAATTCGGTTTTAAAAAGGTTCTAATTGTGGGACTTTTAAAGACCATGAAATGTCCTTTCATAAAACTTCATGTTTCTGCATTTACCAACGTTGCTTGTAAAGTTAACAATATGGATCAAATCCACTGCCAAATTTTATGAGCCCTATATGGTGCCCCTTTATTGCCGTGGAGAAATGTGTGGTTTTCCGTATGCGGAAAATATACGGCGTGTAGTTTGGAAACCCTGAGTAAAAGTGTGGCGGCAGAGCGAGTTAGAAATTATTCGGGAAAAGGAAAAGTTTTCGAAAACCGAATTATGCCCTTCCTTCGAGAATAAGAGTGGAAGAAGAATCAATTTTGTACCAAAGGAACAAAAAATGAATATTTTTATGAATGTTTTCCATGAAATATTATTGACCTTTTAAGGGCATCGAAAATCAGTGAGAAAAATTCATGCTTACTATGTAGTCAGTTTTTACAGAGTGTGATTTTTTGATTGCAGCCAGAAGGAAGTTCATTCGAAAGCCGACATCTTGGCGTAACTGAAATATTATGGAATTATGTTGCAGGTTGACTAGTTTTACAACCCTACTTAAGTAATGCTTTGGAAACGAAAACGCATTTCGGAATTTCGGTTGACATTTCATGTATATTCACGTGCTTCACATGAATTGTAGTGACCAACGTGTTGATTATTGCAAGGATGGAAACCTAAGTGCAGTCTCTACCTCTTCCATACACCAATGGCTTTACCGAGCCAGATGAACTTGCGGAACACGTCATCGAGGCGGCTACGTAGGTTACTAGAAGATTAGTAATTAACACTTCATTGAAATAGCGCAACTGAGGGAGTACAGCCTTTAGCTGGTGTGCAGGTATGAGTGACAGATCAATCGTGCATCAGATGTGAATATTTCAAACTAATGCGGGGACTGAAGATTTCAACTAACGCTTGGTATCGCGTCCACGGAAGCCTCTGCACTTCTCCTCACCCATACGATGGCGTCGATGGTGGTGGATTCGAGAGTGAATCCTAGCTACCAGTGGGATACATTTCTTGTTCCATGCATCGATTATCCGTCTGAGCTCTTGACTTCAACCTGTAAACATAAAACAGCTCGACTAGGTCATGGTGAAAGGAAACCGATTAAACTTGTGGATGGGACTGTTGGAATTACCGAAGATGCAAGAAATTTCACAGCGCTCGTCACTATTAAGGACTAAAACACACGTCATACTTGTTCTCAGATTTAAATACCTCTCAAGATTGGGAACAGACCTTGTCTTTCTGTGAACTTGCGGTAGGGAAATTCCTCAAAGTCTGCAAATGACAACGCCATTTTTAGATAGGTTGGGCAAAACTCTGTTAAGATGAATTCGCAGTACCTCGCGGAAGATGGGAGTCAGCTTGTGAAATCGTTTGTCAAAGCGTCAGGTGATTGGAGGAACGTCTTCCCGGCATGTCCTGCGTTGTTAGGGTGTCGGTGTCCACGGAAGGAAAACGCGTACACGAGCATTTGCAATACCCCGCGAAAAACGCAGCTGAAAGGAATTCGTTTGGTGGACTGTTGGCTCTCCATTGCAGAGGAAGAATTTTTTGGCCAGGAGAAGATTCGGTCATAACACATATTCTGGTTTTCGAACTACGGGCAACCCCAAACGTTGTATGTTGCTGCATTTTAACGCCGCCAAAGCCAAACGCTTGACACGCAAATCCCAACTGCGCCCACCTCGCAACGCCAGCGCTCAACCACCTACGATCTGCCTACGCTGTCAGCGGACGTTCCGGGCACCAGCCGGTCTTGTAGGACATCTTGTTACCGATTGCAGCATCAGCTGCTCTATCCTCGTCCAACTCTGCCTCATCCTCCAAACCGATGACTAACATTGACTGTATTCCCGAACCCCCACCACAATCCTCCTCCTCCTCCTCCTCCTCCTCCTCCTCCTCTTCTTCTTCTTCTTCCTCCTCCTCCTCCTCCTCCTCCTCCACTGCCTCAACATCCGCTACGGCGACTCCTGTACCCACCACCACCACCATACGGAATTCTGACGCACCAACAAACATCAACCCCCCATTATCAATGTCAGCGATTAGAACTCGATCCATACTTGTCCTCATTGCGACCGCATTTTCACCTCAAACATCGGCCTCTTCGGTCACTCGCGAATCCATCGCACAGAGACTGGCCAACCAGTGCCTGGAGAACCAACCTGCACTTGTGTATTCGCCTCCACTGTCCACACTGTCCCCCCACATTCAATGCCCGCATTGATATATTCGGTCACATGCGTGTCCACGAGAGCGGAATTGACCGCAGTCTCAACACTCCTACCACCTCTTGAACCTTCACCATGCCCAGCCCGACATACACCCCACCGTCCAGCTCGCTCACCACCAGCGGCTCTGCCACCATCTCCTTAACGGATTCCGACACCCACCACATCCAACACATCCACCATGCCCAACCCCACGCTCGCACCATCCGGCTGCACAACCACCACCAACACCACCACCACCATCACCGACTCCTCTGCAGCTGACACTGACACCGCCGACCTTTCCTGTTCACACTGTCCCCGTACATTCACTTTACACATCGGCCTGGTCGGTTACTTACGAATACATCGCACAGCGACTGGCTAACCAGTACCTGGAGCACCCACATACACCAGACGCATTCGTCTGAACTAGCCTCATTGCACCCGCACATTCATCCACCGCATGAGCCTGTTAGGCTACATGCGCACTTAAGAAAACTTGTGGAAGACAATCGCCTGCGAAACCACACCATGACATTTTCCTCCACATACATCGGGCATCATCAACATACATCGCGCATCATCAACATACATCGCGCATCATCATCATCATCATCATCATCATCATCATCATCATCATCATCATCATCATCATCATCATCATCATCATCATCATCATCATCATCATCATCATCATCATCATCATCGTCGTCGTCGTCGTCGTCATCGTCATCATCATCATCATCATCCACCACAATCGTCCATTCGCCATCTCCCACGCAAGTGGGAAATGTGCGTATCGGCTCCGTCTCCATGCGGCCCCTACTTCATGTGTGATTCGAGTCTGAGGCTATCACGGCGCGTCCAGCGCGGTGGTTTGGAAGGCTACTGACTGACGCCCCAACCCAGTCCACGCAGTCCGCCCGGTTGTGTGTGTTTTTGTGGAGTGGTTGACTGGCGGGCTGACAGCCAGGCTAAAACGGCTCCTTTTCAACGGCATTCTCATGCATGTGAGATGTACAGTACGTGACCTATCTCATTAAATCTGATAACGGAAACGGATGTGAAAATTTTTGGACGTCTTTCACTTTGTCTTTTCCTGTGCAAAAATAGTGTTTACGTAATTAAATCAAGTAAAATATCAGTAATTTTTTTTAGCGAAACTGGTACTGGACTAACATAGACATTGGACCCATGAAATGGTGTCGGTTTGCGAATGATTGGCAATCATTTGTAAATTTCGACACATTTAATGATTTAGGTAACGTACTGTACGTCACTCAACCCCCCCCTGTGTGTGATCCTGATACTTGTGATTAGGGGACCAGGTCGTGCATACTGCGCTCACAGAAAAGATCACTAGATATGTCACCCACCGCGCCCATTTCTCGCACCTGCCAACTGACCTGCTCGGACAGTGAATGGGGCATGGGAATGGGAAGGGAGAGTGAGGTCGACCACTCAGCACATTTTCCTCGCCATAAACAGTCTGACGCGCTTGAAGCCATCACAGTGTGTTAAAGACCGTGGTTTCGAATGTTGCCATCTGACGGGACAACTTGGACCTCGCAGTCGGCCGAGCGTTGTTTGTTTGTGTGCAGTGGCCGACTTTTGGTTTGAGAGTCAGGCTGCAATGACTCCTTCTTACTGTGGTATTTATGACACTCCCACACCATGAAATCCGAGCCAGGTGCGATGGCACGTCCAGTCTCGGCTTCGGACGTGAGAGACACCCTTTTGTAGTTGGTTAAAATCCTGTTTATTTACTGTGTGGAGTGGAACGCCAAGGTGCGGGCCCAACCATGCCATTCACCTGCGTCCTCCCTCGTCTCCGGTCTTCCTGACTCTGTCTTGACACCGGGCTCAGGCGGGGAGGGGGCGAGAGCGTGTGGTAGATGCCGCGCAAGTCACAAGTCACCGTCCCTGCTCTCGCCCTGCTGTGGGGGCATATGGCGAACATCGTGGGATGCGACGGTCGAACTACAATTTCATGTTTTTGTCCCCCGAGTCTCATATTGCGGAGTCATTGTGTTGCAGTATGCAACGCTCATCTGGAATTGTAACCTCCATTGAAGGCGCCCTGTCACTGAATGTACGTGTGCAGACTGGCCTTAGGTCGTAACAGACAAGTGCACTCGGCGACACGACACGCAGGACGGGGCTATGCAGTTAGGAGACGTGGGCGGCCTGTCTGATGATCCTAGTCCTAAATCACGAGGAGATTTTCTGTACTCTCATTTGGTGCGTCAGTATGCATGCGTGACCTCGAGCTAGCGGTAAGTCAAATTAAGAGGTTTGTTTTGCGCGCAAAGACGAATGATGAGAGTTTGTGTGCGTGTTTTCAGTGATGGTACTGGCTCAGTGTCGAAGGCGTCCGGTACTTCTGAGTGAATGCCAGACTTCTGTTTTTACGCGATATTCCGATTCACAGTCCTTCATTGTGTTTGCAGAAATAATTGCCCATTTTTCTCCTGAATAATCCAGCTTAATACGCCTTTGGGTTCCAAGCTGGGATGCCTATGGGGCAATGTTGATTGCAGTCCTACTGCACCTGTCTGATTTCCCTGCTTTCGGGTTCCTCCTTTTTAATTTCATCATTGTAAACATGCCTTGATTCGAGCTATTTGTTAAAGCAGTGGTCATATAAGCAGCAGACAGTCCCGTTTACAAGTCAAAAATGATGCACTCGACTTTCCTGCGATATCACACATTTCTGTAGAAAGTCCACGTTATGTGTATTTCAGAGGTTTCGGACAATTTAAGATAAGTGGATTTTTTAGTTTTGTTACTACTTCTGAATTTTAGGACATCGACGAAATCCTACAGGGGGAGTATCAACTCCAGCTGCATAGTGCGACTGCGTCCTATCAGAACTGGAATTCGTTGCGTGCATATGAACCTTGTCTTAACTGATGGGGACTGATTTAGAGAGGTAGTTTTTAATGGACATAACTGACGTTATAACAAGGTGGGCGATCATTGTCGCCACAGCAACACTCGCCAGTTTGATATGCCAGTGAGATGAATCTGGTTGGCGTAATGTGATTGGCCGGTACGTGACGAGGGGAGCGGACTCCTGATCAGCCAGCTCAGAGTGCGAGGTTGTTGCTGTGCCAGGCTCGTTTGCCATAACCCCACTTCATGCTGAACTCCCCGATGCTCGCCCACTCCTCCCTGCCCCTTCCCAGGGAGCAGGTATTGGCAAATCCTCTTTGATTCCGACGGCTGAGGTTTTGGGCATTTCCTGAACTCAGACGGCGAGGCACGTTCCACGGTATCTTCTTCATCCATCGACACTGGCATGGTGATGATAAGAGAAATAGGAAGAAAATTTCGCAAGGCCTTCTCCTGGAAAGTTGTTTGACAGACGATAACGCCTAGGTAGGTGCAAGTAAAATTCGTTGTCTTATGCAGTCTAACGCGAGCCAATCCTCGTCCGAGAGAACGGTCGGATCTTATTTTGCAGCCGCACCTGCAGTAGACAAGCCCCAGTCGCCTGCCATATGGGACCGGTGGTAATAGGGAGTTTTGCCATTAACCCTCGATCCTAAATCCTAAGCTCTAGCTCCTAATCTTAACCTCTAACTCCTAACCCTGACCCTGACCCTAACCCCAACCCCTGGCCAGACTCTAACCTCTGAGCCTAAATCCAGACTCCTAACCCTAGCTCTACCCTCCCAACCTTAACCCTACCCCCAAACACTAACGCATAGTCCTAACCGCTAATCCTAACCCCAACCCCTAGCAGGTGTGGCTGCGGAATAAAATCTTTCATATTGACCCAACTGTGAAAAACTCTGCGCCTTCCCCTTACTGCGTGGGTTCGAATCCCACCAAGGCGCCGAGTTTTTCACAGTTGGGTCAATATGAATTATTCAAAATCTGCCAAAACATCAATGAATAAGATCTTACCGAGAGAACTTGCCGGAGGCAATAAAGATGGATGAGGAAGTCTGCATCCTCACTGAAATGCGGATGGATATAACAGACTTCGTAGGCGGAATGCGCCGTCCTCTTTTAGCCGCTGCCTATGGAATTAAAATGACCCCGGCTGTTAATCCTCCTCATTTTCTTACCGACGATGAGTGTTGAGAAGGCAGAAGCGGCGCGTCAGGCAGTGCGCGATGCGGGATATATTAACTTCAGGATAAGATGTGGTTTGGTAGCCCCACTTTATGGATACAATACTGTTGGGGTTGGGGTTTAGGATCACGGAGTTCAGCTAGGGGTTAGGGTTAGGGGTTAACGAAACTATTTCTCAACCATTGAAAGTACAGTCACGTACTCCCAATAGCTTTACTTTTGCATACAACTACTTGACCTCGCCGCATGTGCGTTTCCCTGCTCCACCTGTAAAAACCCCTTCTACCACCGGTCCCGTATTACAGGTGACTGAGGTTTGTTAACTTCAGGTAGAGCTACCAAACCACATCAGACCAACTTCAGAATCAATGCGTCATCTCATGAACAAGTTGGAGGTGTGGCTTTGTGCCCCTCACTGACAATGTTGTTGTCAAGCTCTGGAAAGATATTTTCGTTTCCAGAGAGGCAATACTCTGGAACTGTTGCAGGACAGACTGTAAAAACGAATTCCAGACACGCTGGTCTCTGAAGTCGGCCGAATCCTTGTGCACCCTAGTAGCATTTCAAACTATCCGTCGTCGAGGTAATGATCAGTCAGTAAAGCGTCCTGATCAAAACCTATCTAGTGCGTTGTTTCTGATTGTTATTGACACCGGAGCCCTTATACTTGCGCAAGAACGAGCTGAATAACCTATCTTAGTGCGTTTAAAACTCCAGGAACCCCGACGTTGCATCGCCCAGAAGAGACAAAAAATTTGGAGCGCGACTGAAAAAGCCCGTTTCTAAAGATTTACTCCAAGTTCGCGCATTAATTTCCTCGGAAATTAAACAACGCAAGTTAAAACTGGAGTTCATGTACCAGAAAACATACGGGAAAGCTGGGGACCCACTGACGAGCCGAACCCCTCGCAGCTGCGTCAGGCAGCGGCATAAGATTGGCGAAACACGCGTGTCTGGGCCTTTAACTAATACATGTGTTGTTAGAACGGGAAATCACTGCACACATGCACAACTGTCTGCTATAGGTTTTGAGTAATTACTGGCCTATTTTTGAGAAGTGATCTGCTGATGTCACCAGGACAATTACAAGATCAGGTCTCCTTTTCTGTGAATCTTTCATTCAATCACTGTGACGCTTTTGACGTTTCGCCCGTAAACATCCGCATTCAATAAATGCCACTTTCTGATTTCCTTCTGAGACTCTAATGAGTTCGAACTTTGGGGAACTTTATTCCTTCGGCTGTTAAGGATTTTTTCTTGGCTACAGCTCTCTTCATCCTGCTTCCTCGGAAATTCGAAATGTGTCTACGTAGACTGCAGTTGGTTTTGGTGTAACGGTCAGAAATCAGGTGCATTTAACGCAGTCTACTCACTCACCCGCATTTCTGTCTTCGACAGGAGACTGGCAGGATCAAACAGTTGCGGATCAAGAATATTTGGAGATGTTATTTTTCGGGATGTTTACGCTGCAGTGAAACACCCCTGTGACTATTATTCTGAACCATTTGGCAATGCGTCTTAGTACCATGAATGGGCAGTATTCCATAAAACCGATGCGGATTATGTCAAACACTTCCTCTAATCGACAGTTCCATCAGCGGATTAAGAACTAAATGAGTAGACTAGACACCTGTAAATGGTGAGAAGTGAACTATCCCTGCTCTGCATCATGCAGGCTGCATTTCAGGTTTGTGAATAATGACTTTTTGATTACTTGACTCTTGAGCTGTCTATGTCGTTATGATATTTTTGGGTCTTCCTGTCTCTAGTAACTATAATATTCAAACAGTTGTTACACCGTCGTCGGGTCACTATTTTTGGCCGTTACCTTGGTGATTGTTACAGAGAGTCTGGCTTGTTCCTGTTTTCTCTGTGCCTGCCAGTAAGCTTAATTTCTTGTGAATACCTCTAGAACGTGCCATGTTCTTCGCGGCGTATTTTGCCGAGGGATTAGTCGAATTAGCTAATCTGAGCGTGCTTGATGTACGATGTTATTACGTCCATGGTGGACTCTGGGTCTTTCCTGATGTCTAAACCTCGCCCAGTGAATTATTTACATCAAGAATAATTGTTCATGCCTCAGCCGATGATTGGCACTCCAATAGTACACTGAGCTTGAGAATCGAAAATACATCATATCGCATTCAGCATTGTGACCATCCTACGGCTTCATGCGTACTATCTGAACAAATTCGGACTTTCGACTATTCGCTACGTCAGTGAAGCCTGCATTTTCTGAACCCTGAGTCATTCCTCTCTCGGGAAGTTTCGGATGTACCCTATGCTCATTATTTCAATCAAATAAACTTCATGCGTGGAATGCAGATGACACATATCCGCCAGCAGATCTTTTATTTTCCCTACATATTGAGCCCCTTTTCACTAAAGTTCGTGGACTTCCTTATGGCATTCCTCGTTTACGTCCCCACCACACACCTCAACCCTTAATCTGACAAATAATGGATGCCTGTATTCGTCCTTTCAGTATTTATGGTTCTTCTGTAATTTTTCCTGCTTTGCTAAAAATATCTGTTAATTTAAAAACGAGTCGTCCGAAGGCTCTCTTCTGCTGCCGGTGTTTCTTATGTCTTTCTAGTCGATATGATCATACAACGACATATCAAAACGGTCAATTAATTCTCTGGTCGAATTCTGGATGACGTTACCCATCGCCTGCATTCTGAAGTAATCTGTGCGAAGTCTTTCCGTCGTGGTTTTCGACTTATATCTTGTCATACATCGGCATAGCAGCATCCAGCATTGCCCTTCCTGGCGCGCTACCTTACGTCCGAAGATACAGAAATACAGAAGCTAAGACTCGAACTGTCCCCATAATAGTCGTTCTTTTTGTGTAAAACTTTTTGACTCTCGAGTAACTTATTAACATATATTCTGTCCACGGTGAATGGAGCCCGTGTTTGCTGCATATTTTGAATTTGTTTACCTAGTTTCTTCCCCATAAATCCTCAGAAATCACCAAAATGTGCCTTAAATTATATCGCCAAAATAGTTCATAGGAATTAAAAAGACGAGTAATTACCTATGAGATCCTCTTCCGGACGTAAAACTACTGAGTCGAAGGCTCAGACTGAACATTATACGTCTGATCTCCACAATTATTTGCAACAAAAGGCCGGTTTACGCTTAATGACTGCATTCGTCACAACTGACCTCAGTCCCATCCATAAGTCAAAGGCCCTAAAACCTGTCGCCAACCAATGTAGCACAGTTTTCAATTGCCGCTATAACAGACCGTAGAGAAATGAGATCGCTCATGTTCATATCTGGCACAAATGATCCAGGAGGCCTCACCCAATCACATCTCCGCCACATCGATGAGAACTGTATGAACACAGGAGATTTCAAGATTGTCTTATTGGTCACAGAGAAGCATCGTGTGTGATCAGCACACGGTATTGCCAATAAAATGTACAAATTAGAAACCCAACGATAGCAGGAGATTACGCAGCTCGCTTTTGTCCAAGCAGCCATCATGATTGACGTCGAAATTTGCGATGAACTGCTCAATGTCCGCCTTTGTGATGCCATCCAAATTCAGGATGTAAAGGAGCTCGTCTGCGGAGATCCTGTTGTTTCCGTCAATGTCCAGTTTCCGAAAGAATTTTTCGACCTCCTGTGGGCTGTAATGAAAGAAAAATGGAGATGCTTGCAGTTGGGAAGTGAAGGACCTACCTTGGCATGCGAAATCCTTCGACAGGAAGAACGCTGTTAATGTCTGACCGCCTTCTCATGGTCCTTCTATGTCGCAGGCGCCTCCTTTTATTGCTGGAATAAGGAGGCCATGACAGCGTGATCAACCAGTCAGATGTCTGCTCGCATAGTTAGGGTGTTTGCGGAGGCGAGGTTGAGAGGACGCCAAACGCCCACAGATGGTAGAAGGTAGGTTAATTCTGCAAATTGACATGCTTCAGCCTTTTTTTGGTGAGACCATGAGGGATGAGCAGAAATGTGGGAATTTTTTGGCTGCACAAAGGTAATAGTTTCCGTTTGTTTTTACATAACCTGCGACCTGCTTCTCTTTGGCATATTCGTTCTTTTGCATGTGGCGTGATATGAGATTTTTAAGATTTCAAGTTTCTAGGATATTATCGTGTGGTACCCCGAAAGCGAGACGTTTATCGTTAGGTCGGTATATAAAGTTGGCGTACATTTTCTATACATTTATTAGATCAACTTATTTTTTGTGGGTTTGGGTGAGTTTCACTGGATAATGTGCAAATTACGGTATTCAGTTTCCGATAATTCACTCGAATGAAAAATATTTAACGCTGAACTATGCTGCCGAACGAGTGTCAATCTGAAGACAGTTGTGTCAGTACACTTACTCATTAAATAGGCAGCGCCAGTTTAGAGGAAGACAAACGTCCGCATGCAAAGCGGCACCTCGTTTGTTCAGGAAAAGCAAGTGGAGCCGACTGCTTCGAAGGCGGTAACATCTACAACTGTTAACTTGTGTAGATCAGTTTGAAACCAGTCGGTGGATAGATGGCCCCATTAGCAAACTTACTTGTCTTTTTGTCAAAACGCCTGATAATATTCTATAAATTATTTGCAATTAACAGAATATTCATGCGTGTCTCAAACGCAAGTATGAACGACGGAGAACCTTCATAGACAACTCGCCGTTTGTTCTGACAGACAGAGAGACAGGAATGTCCTGATTGCGCCAAACAGTAGGGGCGTATACTACGACCATGGCTCGTTGTCTTTGAATGACTGATGTATTCAGGCTTTGCCATTCACAGCTGTCGCACTTGTAGACATTTGTAAGGAATGTTAGCCGAGACCGTGGGTTTTGAGCCCATACTGATGTCCTGGTGGCATATTGACCTTTCGAGTAGATAGCGCGTATTTTCGCTATTTTTACAGTCAACCTCACCTGACAGGACACTCGAACCTGTCAGATTTAGAAGGGCCGCCCTCTACCTAGCTCAGCTGATCGCGTGGGCGACGAGAATGCCTGAGGCAGGTAGGGGGCGTTCACTGTCGATACAAGCGCACTTACCTATCTTCTTACGAAAAGATGTCAGAATATGCCAATGGGTACTCGTAATTAACAAAATACTCAAGCGCCAGTGCATGTGCCTGGAAGCATTTACGAAGTCGGAGACTCGATCCTTTGTACATAGACACCGGAGGCCATCATCAGGCGCCATTGAACGAGGTCGAAATGGCTGTAGTCATGACAAGATACGATAGGGGTAGTCGTGAAGAAGGAGACACGATCGCTGGGACAAGAGCTTTGTTTGCCTGATATTTCGGATTCCTGCTGGATCCCAGCATCCGAGACAATAGCAGATACGTTAGGGCGGTTTGACCCACCTGGTGCGGTTGCGGACGAAATACGTTGTGCGAGAGAAACTAGGTGTTTAGTTCGCAGGCGGATGATAGAATACGCAGAGGAACCGATGGGGAATGAGACCATCGTTCACGTTACGGATCATTTAGCTATCCCGATGGAATTATCATGTGATAGTTAGACAGTCGGTTGACTCAACTCTTCAAAAGGCTTCGTATGGCTCAGGAGTGCCTGTAAATTAAATGCTATAATGGGTCTATGATAGGCAGTTCTAACACAAGCTCATTGACAGGCTCGGACATCCGACTGGTGAGAGGAACAAGGGCAGGATGGGGAAGTCGACACTAGAGAATTTATTTCCACGACACATCAGCGCTTTCCTTCCTAAATTGAATCTGCTACGAGCCGCTACGTGTCGGGATTTGGAAGGTTGACAGATGACGGACTAGCTCGATCAACAGAGGAGTAGTTTGGAGGGACTGAGACAGTGATGATCAATTGACAGTTGCCCTTCTTAATGTGGTCTTTATGGGTCCGTGCTGGCTCAGTGAAATCACAATGAGTGCCCTGGGGAACAGACCGTGTTTGACATGCGTCGACGTGCCGACTAACATTGTCGGCCAGTGCGACCGAGACCACTTCCAACCGTCTTGACGTTATCTTGCCTTCAAAATCCAGTTTTGTGAGGAACGAGAGTGCGGTAGACGCGGCGTAAGTCTGCCTCACCGTAAACTAATTTATGTGTAAATCATCGGTGCTGCCCCCGCTCACACAGTGAACGACGTCGCTCGCGATGGTTGTGCTGTCCTAGGATCAAGGCCTTTGGTTTCACAAATGGACTGCTGAGACAGCCACATCTGCGTACAATGCTGACATTCAGATGTTGGTACAAATCGAGAGTAAATGACGTCGATCTTAGTGGTATCGTTTCTAGACCAGCTACTGATGTTGTTACTAAATTCTCGCTTTTTTCCGTTCTGACTTCCAAAAAGTGCATGACGCAGCCTTGAGGACATTTGATATTGCAGAGTACCCGTCATTTACTTGTTAAGGGGATTGGGGGACGCGATGCCGAGTGTAGTGCGTGATTAGATTCCATTCTCGACAAATGATCTGTCCTATATTTTAGGTAGCCCCGAGGGGATAAGAATTGTGGGTTAGATCAGTGGGCATTGGTGTCCAATCTACGGACCACTGTCAGTCATTTCGCCAGTCGTATAATACCGCATTAAAATAATGGCACGGGAAATGAACATAAGTTGGAGAGGCCGTGTCCTGCTGAATCCTCACATGGCCACCTTTCGAAGGTCTGTTCAACTCGAGAATCGCTTGTTGTTGAACCACTCAGTGGCAGGACTGCCCTGGAGCCCGCTTCCGACTGTCTTGACGTTATCTGGTTTGGTGAGGAAGGAGAGTGCGGTAGATGCGGCGTAAGTCTGCCCCCCCCTAAACTAGTTCAGATGAAAATCATCAGTGCCTCGGCCGCTCGGAGGAAACATCGTTATTCGCGATATTTTGGCACTCCTAAGAGCCACCCATTTGGTTTCGCATTTGGACCATCGGGACAGACGTTGCTGTCATTACTGAATTTTCGTTATTTTCTGGTGTTACTCAAGGAAGTACATGACGTATCTCTGCAGTCTCTAAACTATGCCATTGATATTGTAGACTGCCGTTTTGAAGAAAAAGACACGATCGCCGGGACAAGAGCTTTATTAGCCTGACGTTTCGGATTCCTACTCGAATCCATCATCAGAGACATAAGCAGATAAGGGTGGTTCATGCACATGCGGCTGCAGTATTTATAGGATGCAGTAGCCATGCCACCGCATACATATGAATATTCACGGCTCCCTCCCCTTCATCAGGGCTCGTTGCACGTGGCGTGTAATACAGCTGACACATATCCGCCAGCAGATCTTTCATTTTCCCTACATATTGAGCCCCTTTTCACTAAAGTTCGTGGACTTCCTTATTACATTCCTCGTTTACGTCCCTACCACACACCTCAACCCTCAATCTGACAAATACTAAATGCCTATATTCCTCCTCTCATTATTTATGGTTCTACTGTAATTTTTCCTGCTTTGTTAAAAATATCTGTTAATTTAAAAACGAGTCCTCCGAAGGCTCTCTTCTGCTGCCGGTGTTTCTTATGTCTTTCTAGTCGATATGATCATACAACGACATATCAAAACGGTCTATCAATTCTCTGGTTGCATTCTGGATGACGTTACCCATCGCCTGCATTCTGAAGTAATCTGTGCGAAGTCTTTCTGTCGTGGCTTTCGACTTATATCTTGTTATACATCGGCATATCAGCATCCAGCATTGCCCTTCCTGGCGCGCTACCTTACGTCCGAAGATACAGAAATACAGAAGCTAAGACTCGAACTGTCCCCATAATAGTCGTTCTTTTTGTGTAAAACTTTTTGACTCTCGAGTAACTTATTAACATATATTCTGTCCACAGTGAATGGAGCCCGTGTTTGCTGCATATTTTGAATTTGTTAATTCAACATAAAGCGAATTCCTCCCCCCCTGCCGCATAACCTAGTTTTTTCCCCATAAATCCTAAAAATCACCAAAATCTGCCTTAAATTATATCGCCAAAATAGTTCAAAGGAATTAAAAAGACGAGTAATCATCTATGAGATCATCTTCGGGACGTAAAACTACTGAGTCGAAGGCTCAAACTGAACATGATACGTCTGATCTCCACAATTATTTGCAACAAAAGGCCGGTTTACGCTTACTAACTGCTTTCATCACAACTGACTTCAGTCCCATCCATAAATCAAAGGACTTAAAACCTGTCGCCAACCAATGTAGCACAGTTTTCAATTGCCGCTATAACAGACCGTAGAGAAATGAAATCGCTAATGTTCATATCTGGCACAAATGATCCAGGAGGCCTCACCCAATCACATCTCCGCCCCATCGATGAGAACTGTATGAACACAGGAGATTTCAAGATTGTCTTATTGGTCACAGAGAAGCATCGTGTGTGACAAACATACGGTATTGCCAATAAAATGCACAAATTATAAACCTAACGATAGTAGGAGATTACGCAGCTCGTTTTTGTCCAAGCAGCCATCATGATTAACGTCGAAATTTGCGATGAACTGCTCAATGTCCGCCTTTGTGATGCCATCCAAATTCAGGATGTAAAGGAGCTCGTCTGCGGAGATCCTGTTGTTTCCGTCAACGTCCAGTTTCCGAAAGAATTTGTCGACCTCCTGTGTGCTGTAATGAAGGAAAAATGGAGATGATTGCAGTTGCGAATTGAAGGACCTACCTTGGCATGCGAGAACCTTCGACAGGAAGAACGCTGTTAATGTCTGACCGCCTTCTCATGGTCCTTCTATGTCGCAGGCGCCTGCTTTTATTGCTGGAATAAGGAGACCATGACAGAGTGATCAACCAGTCAGATGTCTGCTGGCATAGCTAGGGTGTTTGCGGAGGCGAGGTTGAGAGTGCGCCAAACGCCCACAGGTGGTAGAAGGTAGGTTGATTCTGCAAATTGACATGCTTCAGTCTTTTTTTGATGAGACCATGAGAGATGAGCAGAAATGTGGGAATTTTTTGGCTGCACAAAGATACTTGTTTCCGTTTGTTTTTACATAACCTGCGACCTGCTTCTCTTTGACATATTCGTTCTTTTGCATGTAGCGTGATATGAGATTTTTAAGATTTCAAGTTTCTAGGATATTATCGTGTGTTATCCCGATAGTGAGATGTTTATCGTTAGGTCGGGATATAAAGTTGGCGCACACTTTCTATACACTTTTTACATTAACTTATTTTTTGCGGGTTTGGTTGAGTTCCACTGGATAATGTGCGAATTACGGTATCCAGTTACGTGTTGAACATTCAGAAGAAAAATGCTTTTGATTTGAACCCTGGCGCAGATTGGCACTGCTGCCTAAATGTAGATGAGGTCGTGTGACAGGGACGGTGCAGGCTAAACACACTTCCTTCTTTCGGTTAAACGTTCCGTATTGTATGATCACATCCATCTGAGATGGAGTCACAGCCCGAAGACAAAGGCATCAGTATACTTGCCCAACGAAGTAAACAAACTCGATTAGGAGAAAATAAATTTCCACGTGATAAGTGACACCTCATTGTTTCAAGGAATAGGAGTAGACAGGACTACTTCGAAGATGGTAATATCTGCAACGGTTAAACTGTACAGCTCAGTCCGGACGGACCCAAAAGCGCACCTACCTGTCCTTTTGCCAAAAGGTCTTCGAATATGCCAATATATACCCGTAATTAACAAAACAGTATTGCGGGTAACGGTAGGTTGTAGGAGCCCACGTATGTGTCAACTCCAAAATGTACACTAAAACCCAGTGCGACTGCAAACCCCACTTACTATCCACCTTCCCCATTGGTGGATAGTTCCTTGCCTTCCTGACAAATGTGAACCTGCCAGCGGCGCTTTATTCAGAGTCCGTTGTTGTTGAAAATCGTTTTTGTTTATATTTTAATCATCGCGTTCACTTTCTTAGCAAATCGACAGCGTAAGATAAGAATTACGGCGGAAATTTATTTACTTCCCGTGTCTTCTTGACTTCCATCCCGCGTGTTGCCTCACCCAAAAAACCCCCTCTACCACCATTCAACTTATGACGCAGTCCAAAGGCTAGCGCAAATTATTCGGATCCCACACCCAACCACTGCCCTTATGAGCATATTAAACGCAAGAATGGACGACGGAGAACCTTACTAGACAGCCAAAATTATCTTGAAAGCGTCAAAGGGTATGAGCGCACATTTGGATGATGACACGTCTTTGAGTGACTGATTTATCCAGGCTGTCGAAGATGTAGACGTTTGTAATGAAAGTTTCCTGAGGCCGTGGTTTTAAGTCAAGCATGGTGGCCTGCTGGCATTATGACCTTCTAAGCGAGCGCCAAAAGCACACAGATGCTTGAATGCAGGTGAATTCTGCAAATTGACATGCTTCAGTTCTTTCGAAGAAACCATGAGGAGTGAGTAGAAATGTGAGAATTATCGGGCTGTACAAAGTTAATAGCCTCGGTTTGTTTTTACAGAAGGTACGACCTGCATTTCCGAAATATTCGTTCATATGCGTATAAACTAAAAATAGAGTTGAAGCCTACAAATTTCTCCGATTGTCACGTGTACCATACCGAAAGCGAAATGCTTATTGTTATGTCTGGATGCGAATTCGGTGCCGTTGTTTCTATGCATTATTTTTAGGTCAAGCCATTTGTTGTGACTGGATAATGTGCACTGGATAATGTGCAAATTACGGTATTCAGTTTCCGATAATTCACTCGAATGAAAAATATTTAACGTTGAACTATGCTGCTGAACGAGTGTCAATCTGGAGACAGTTGTGTCAGTACACTTACTCACCAAATAGGCAGCGCCAGTTTAGAGGAAGACAAACGTCCGCATGCAGGGCGGCACCTCGTTGGTCCAGGAAAAGCGAGTGGAGCCGACTTCTTCGATGGCGGTAACATCTACAACTGTTAATTTGTGTAGATCAGTTTTAAACTAGTCGGTGGATAGATGGCCTCATTAGCAAACTTAGTTGTCTTTTTGCCAAAACGCCTGATAATATTCTATAAATTATTTGCGAGTAACAGAATATTCATGCGCGTATGCAACTGATGTAGGAACGACGGATAACCTTCATAGACACCCCGCCGTTTGTCCTGACAGATAGACAGACAGGAATGTCCTGATTGCGCCAAACAGTAGGGGCGTATACTACGATCTTGGCTCGTTGTCTTTGAATGATCTATGTATTCAGGCTTTGCCATTCACAGCCGTCGCACTTGTAGACATTTGTAAGGAATGTTAGTCGAGGCCGTGCGTTGGGCTATTTTTACAGCCAACCTCACCTGACAGGACACTCACACCTGTCAGTTTTAGAAGGGCCGCCCTCTACCTGGCTCAGCTGATCGCGTGGGCGACGAGAATGCCTGAGGCAGGTAGGGGGCGTTCATTGTCGATACAAGCGCACTTACCTATCTTCTTACCAAAAGATCTCGGAATATGCCAATGGGTACTCGTAATTAACAAAATACTCAAGCGCCCTTGTCTGAGCCTCGAAGCAGTTGCGAAGTCGGAGACTGGATCCTTTGTACATGGACACTGGAGGCAATCATCAGGCGCCATTGAACGAGGTCGAAATGGCTGTAGTCATGACAAGATACGTCAGGGGTAGTCGTGAAGAAGGAGGCACGATCCCTGGGACAAGAGCTTTATTCGTCTGACGTTTCGGATTCCTGCTCGAGCCTAGCATCCGAGAGAATAGCAGACACGTCAGGGCTGTTTGCCCCACCTGGTGCGGTTGCGGACGAAATACGTTGTGCGGGAGAAACTAGGTGTTTAGTTCGCAGGCGGTTGTTGGTGCACACAGAGGAACCGATTGGGAATGAGACCATCTTTCACGTTACGGATCATTTAGCAATCCCGATGAAATCCTCATGTGATAGTTAGACAGTGGGTTGACCCAAACAGGCTTCGCAGGACTGAGGAGTGTCTGTGAATTAAATGCTATATTGGGTCTATGATGGGCGATCTTAACAAAAGCTGATTGGCAGGCTTGGACAGCCGACTGGCGAGAGGAACAAGGACAGGAGGGCGAAGTCGACACTAGAGGATTCGTCTCCACGATACATCAGCCGATTCCTCCCTAAATTGAATCTGTTTAGAGGCGCTACGTGTCGCGATTTGGAAAGTTGACAGATGAAGGACTAGCTCGATCAACTGAGGAGTAGTTTGGAGGACCTGAGACTTTGATGATCGAGTGACAGTTGCCCTTCCTAATGTGGCCTTTATGGCAGTCTCATACACTGTGGGTCCGGGCTGGCTCAATGAAATGGCAGTGAGCGCCCTGGGGAACAGGCCGTGTTTGACATGCGTCGACGTGCCGATTAACATTGTCGGTCGGTGCTCCCGAGCTCGCTTCCTACTGTCTCGACGTTATCTTGCCTTCAAAATTTAGTTTTTTGAGGAACGAGTGTGCGGTAGACGCGGCGTAAGTCCGCCTCACCGTAAACTAATTCATGTGTAAGTCATCGGCGCTGCCCCCGCTCACAAATTTGACGATGTCGCTCGCGATGGTTGGGCTGTCCTATGATTAAGGCCTTTGGTTTCCCAGCTAGACTGTTGAGACAGTCAAATTAGCGTACAATGCTGACATTCAAACGTATCCGATACAAGCAAAAATGCGAGTTCCAGGAACTAGTTGATCAGAAGAAGAATCGATCGCTGGAACAATGGCTATATTCGCCTGACGTTTCGGATTCTCTCCGAAACGTCAGGCGAATAAAGCCATTGTTCCAGCGATCGCATCTTCTTCTGATCATTCAGACGTAGGTATAAATCGAGAGTAAATGACGTCAATGTTAATAGTATCGTTTCTACACCACCTATTGATGTTGTTACCAAATTCTCGTTATTTTCCGGTCTGACTTCCAAAAAGTGCACGACGCAGCTTTGAGGACCACACGGTATGAATTGTAGAGTACCCGTCAATTGGGGGACGCGATGCCGGCTGTAGTCGGTGATTAGATTTCATTCTCGGCAAATGATCTGTCCTGTATTTTAGGTAGACCTGAGGGGAGAAGAATTGTGGGCTAGATCAGTGGGCATGGGTGTCCAATCTACGGACCATCGTAAGTCAGTTCGCCAGTCGTCGAATATCTCATTAAGATAATGGCACGAGAAATGGACATAAGCTGTAGATGCCGTGGCCTGCTGAATCCTCACATGGATGCCTTCTGAAGATCTGTTCAACTCGGGAATCGTTTGTTGAAGCAGTCTGTGACAGAACTGCCCTGGTGCCCTATTCCGACTGTCTTAACGTTATCTTGCCTTCAAAATCTGGTTTGGTGAGGAATGAGAGTGCGGTAGATGCGGCGTAGGTCTGCTTCCACTAAACTAGTTCAGGTCTAAATCATCGGTGCTGCGTCCGCTCTGAGGGGACGTCGTCTTTCGCGATATTGTCGATCTCCTTGGAGCAAAACACTCGATTTCGCGTTTGGATCATCGGGACAGACGTTGCTGTCATTACCAAATTTTCGTTATTTTCTGGTCTGACTCAAAGAATTGCATGGCGCATATCTGCAGTCTCTAAACCATGGCATTGATATTGTAGACTGCTCGTTTGTTTTCTTCGATAGCAATGAAAAATTTTGTTATTTAGACCCACTTGTTAAAAGAATTAGGAGCTGCGATGCCGAGTGTACGCTGTGATTATACTAGATTCTCAGAAATGTATCTGTACTGTATTTTTAGGTAGCCCCAAAGGAAGAAGAATTATGGGTAAGGCTAATGGGCATACTTATTCAATCTGCTGGCCATCGTTC